TGTAACTTGGCGGTCTAGGAACCTTGATCTTAATGCACAGAGATGGAGCCAAGAGAGGAATGAGTGCCGAACGGTAATAACAGTATAAAGAAAAATAGCAAAGAAAAGGCAATTGTTCACCGTCACAACGATATTCCAACGAGGCCCAAACTCTCCACCAACTGAAGTGGCAAATCCCAAATCCGATATAAGTCCCTAATTAGCACGATTTGGGATCATATCCTCCCTTCTCGTCCTTGTGTTGCAGAACTAAAGCGCGACCCGAAATCCGATTGCGTTGCATGACCAGCAAAACCAACATATCCACAGTCAACCAATCATACACTGATCGTGCTCCCAACCAATAACCTAGCTGCAGCAAGCAGCGCTGGATAGCTGCAAGAAGGGAAATCTAGCTCAAGCCCTTGACGCAACGCCTCTCTAGGACCTATAGAAAGAGAATCTCAATCCCGAGCCAGCAATCGCCATGCGCGATGACATCATGCCCTTGCCGCTGGGCCAGAAGGTCCATGTCATTGCTGCTGGCGCTGTTGGATCGAGGAACGGCTGCCATTCGTAGGGAGGGCATGCTGCACAACCCAGTGGGAGAATTTAGGTACCTATGGTGGCCTAGCGGGAATATTTGCAGTGATACTGCAGAATGTTGATTAGTGATGCTGCCCCTCGGGGATACTAGTACATATGTGGATTTGTCAACCTACAAACGCCAACGCGGCCTGCTTAAACCCGATGCACCCCCGCAAAGACCGACCATTTTTGATTATTGTAAAAAGAAATTCTAAGACAATTTCCGCTCCCGCTGTCAAAATCCGGTGTCATGTGTAGTACTAGTATGTACGGAGTAAATATGTCATTAAATCCAGCTCGGGCCTGGTCGGGAATTGGCCGACTAGTACGGATACTATTAGTAGTACTTCGATCTCCCGCTCTTCAGGCACCGACAGTAGCCTAGTAGTATCATGGTAGCCTATAGTAGTAACTGGGATGTACTAGTCAACATGTACTACCTAATGCAGGTGTCCTTCGAAGCGCTTCATTTGGCCCGCGTCTTCGAACAGGTCGCGCCTCTAAACCACTTTGGAGCGACGATCACCGCCTCGTACACGTGCATACTGTCGTTGTGGTTATGTTTCTACCTCATCTGAATATCGGGCTGGATTTCAAGATTAGGCCTATAACCGCTGTTGGTTTGAAGGTCGATCATGGTTGGAGCTCTTCGCGCTAGGGAAGGTCGTGCTCCTGCGTGGTCTTGGATGACCTCAGAGGCTTTTTCCACATGGGCATAAGTCCCCGGCCCTGATACCTGATGTCATTTTAGATTGAGGGGATGAACTGCTCTTTGATTTTCGGGGTTCATCGCGAATCCCATCTTGAGTATGGCATATGAGTAGAGAGAGAGAAAGTGTGGGGTGGTCTATGGTTCAATTTCGGTGAAGCATATCGGTTCATTGCCGTGTGCTGGGCTAGTACCCCGGATTGACATTAGGGTGCCGATCTCAGATGTTTGCACACTACACTTGCTCTGAAGTCTCCAAAATTTCGATTTGAATGCTATGAGAAGAATACAAAACACTATTGAATATGAATGAGGATAGTCTGAGCTTATTCACTTGCAGTTGACTCCCACTGTATATGAACGCTGACCTTTTCAAAATGCTTCGCCTTTTCAGTCGGAATTATAGTGTTGCTGAGTAGAACTACCTAAGTACTCCTACCAATGTTTTTGAAATGTATATTCGCTGCTGCAATTATCCCGGGGCCTAAGATACTAGTACTCCATCGATTTTCTAAGACATTCGAAGATTTGTACATGTGTCATACGCTAGATTTACTTTGACCTCAATTCACCAGCACAGAGACTTCTGTTCTCGTTCTCGTTCATTCGGAACCATATGCTGGCAACTTGAAGATTGATGCTTCATGTATCCCAGGTGCATTCTGACCAATACCGCACAATCCATTGCAACACTAAATTTTAGCGAGGAGAAGATTAACAAGACTTCTTCTTCAGCATGGGATGACACTCAGTATTGAACACGAAGTCGTCCAGGCTAACGACGTCCGGCTCGGTGAAGCTGAGGTAGAGATATTTGAGGACCTCAGCAAAATAGAAGCTGGAAACATAGTTGACCAAATCCCCACCATATGGAGCATTGACATCGGTGACTTCAGCGTAGGGGACTGACTTCGAGCGGGTAGTGTTCAGCGCTTGAAAGATCTCCCAGTTGTATTCCTGCCAGCGTGTGTCTCCTGTGATGCGGTAGGCATACCAGATACTCTCGAGTGGCTCTGGGTACGAGCGATATGATGGGTCTTCAATGAAATATCCGTACTTAGCAGCATAGGAGCGAACGGTGGAGTTCCTGTTGTAACTCTTGTCGTAGGCTTTATTGTGCTCGTTGTACCAGGCGATTGCTAGAAAAGTATTAGCCCGATTTGAAAAACAAATAAACGATAAAATCATTCAAGCACATACTTGATGGTCCAAGACCCGTAACCGTCGTGTTATACAGCCAGTGGCAGCTGTCGGTCACTTTCACGCCCAACTCTGAGATATCTGGTCGATCAAGATAGGCTCCACCGAGCAATAGATTGCCACCGGCAAAGCAGGCCTAAGAAAGTCATTTAGGTCAGAGTACTCTTCGTGGTTGATGTGGTTGATAGCAATTGACTAACATAATCATCCATTGACCACATGATGGTGCCGTTCTCATCGAGCTGCGATAGGAAAGTGAGTTCCGGTCTCTTGTAGGGACTAAGCGCGATATTATCTTTGCTAGACTCGACGGCCAAGAGCCAGAAGTCTTTCAACTGCTCGACCATACTATCTTCTGGGTCGTAGATGTAGGTTTTAATGAGGTACTTGGAGAAGTTAGTAAGGCCAGGACCTGATTTCAAAATTTGCTCACCTCAATGAAACTGTCAACGCCAGCTTCCCAGCCGCCATCGAGGGTGATGAATTTGCCCGTCTCAGTGTTGAGCTCAGTGCCGACCAGACCAGGAAAAGCTGGCGCGGGCTGAGGGTTAATCAAGTATTTCTCGGCTTTTTGAGCCTTTGTAATTCGAAGTGTCAGTATCAGATCTAGTCTTGACAATTTTAGGGGCATGTTTGAACCATACATTCTGACGGAATGATTCATCCCCGGTCAAATCAGACAGTCTGTAGTACTCTAGAATCATAGTTCCAGCTTGCGCAGTATTTGTACTGTTGTACTTAGTACCATTGACAGCTGTGGTGCTCTTCATTATTTCGCCGGTCGAAAAGTTCATGGTAGAGGCAGGCAGGCCAGAGGCAGTGTCAAATACTGGGCTAATAGCGGTGGCCAGAGACTTGGCTTGCGATAGCAAGGCTTCAACGAGCTTTTCATCGTAGGGATTGGGAAAGTCGCCGCTTTTGATCAAGTCATAAGCGCTCAGAAGGCTGTGTTGAATTTAGTTTCGGACCTAATATAAGAGGGAGTAAATCTTACCCGCCGAGGTAACGAATATTGATATCGAAGAAGTTAACGATATCAGGAGACTTCCTGAGGAAAAGTTAGTATAGGAAAGTGTGATTAATTCCTTCCCTGGCTCATAACTTACGTGAAATCGACCGAGGCGATGTGCTTCAGCTGTTGCTCCACAATATCCGTGAGACCCATAATGATCGCAGTGTCGATTCCATCAACAACGCTAGCACCCCATCCAAACAGATCATCGGTATAGTTATGACTCAGAGGTAGAAGCTCATCATTCGGGAAGGCATATTTGGAATATTCACGCCACTCACGTGCATACGCCTGCTTGACAGCTTCGGCACGAGGGTCGTGTTTGTTCGTGCCCTTGGGGAAGTCATACTGAACCTTCTTGCAGGTATTCCCGGATGAAGTTGAAGGTGCAGCGCTGGTAACCGCCGCTAGGGCCAGCAAAATATGGGAAACACCAACCATATTGGGAATCCTCAGTAAAAAACAGTGAATGTGTTAGTATGCTGTGGATTTACACACATTGGCAATGGAAATGGGTACATATGTACTTATCTGTTCCTGGGGATCGGCAGGAACATCCATCGTTACATTGCTGGAAGGTTGCAGTTTGGCAAAGATCGGCCTTATCGTTGAAAATTAATCACTCAATGTGGAACTTGATTGTTTCAATTCGAGTCGGATCAGACAAGTTCAATTATTTTCTTGCCAGGCGATTACTTGTTCTTTTTTCACGGGTGAATGATCAAGGGCTTCCAAGGACAGCCTGAGAAGCACAGAATTCCAGAGATAAACAATACGAACCTCATCTAGGGGCACGTTCAATCGTGAAAATCAATCAAGACAAGGGGTTAAAATCGGTGTCCAGACCGAGCGCACTGACTCCAACGCCATGGCCACTCAAGCTTTTGCCCCGGACGCCCCCTCCGTCGTAATCCTTCGGCGAAATGAAGACCGAGTCCCCGCACGGGGTAGTCCCAAGTCGGAACGGACTTGGGAATGTCAGCATTTGTTCGCTTTTTGGGTTTCAATAAATGGAATAGCTTCATTTTATTGCACATGAGGAATGTTTGAGCCGAGCAGTTTAATGGGATCTCGTTTATCCTGTACAAGTTTCAAAAAGATTCTCAACCACCGCTGTGTCAAAACAGTTTGAATATGAATGTGCACAAAATTTCCAAGACAATTATGCAAGTCCATCTCCACCGTTTCTTCAAAGGGAGCTCAGGGTTGCAGCTTGTAAGCTTAGTCTTGATACATAGTAGGCGCAGTGAACAGTCAGTATGGAGAACTCCAGGTCCGATTCCCTAACCTGTTTTTTTAGGAAATGATCAGCTTCAGCAGACTGATCCAAGCTCGGAGAGGCTTAGTTAGTTCCAATATCGCTTTCAAATGTCCGATGGAATACTACCCCAAAGTCAATGCGATTCCAACCCCTCAATAAACCAAAAAGAAATGGACATAAAATACTTGACCCGCAAAAATGAACGCTGGCACTTGGATGGATTCAATCTTCGAGATCAACTTGAAGCTAGCATGAAGACACTACTCTATATCTTGTTTTTGGCAGGAGCTGCTGTCTCCCAGAATATAATAGACCTTGGTAACAAAAACTGGACCTTGGCAGGCCTAAACATCACAGTCCCTGGTTCTGTACCATCCCAGGCACACCTGGATCTCTTTGCAGCGGGTGCGATTGGGGATCCACTATATGGAGAAAATGACACCGAGCTGCTCTGGGTTCAGAGATCTAACTGGACTTACTCGGCTGTGATTTTTAATATGTGTGTTACCACCTTCGGTCGAGGAAAAATGGCTCATTTCTCATCTCAACTTATCATAGGAGCCAAACCGAGGATTTTTCAACATGGCTTATATTTGATGGTCTTGACACCTTTGCCTCTATCGAACTTTGTAATCAATTTGTTGGAAATACAGACAACCAGTTCCGCCAATGGTACTTCGATGTAACCGACATAGTTCGCTCATGCAAAGAGGAGCCCAAATTGAGTCTCAATTTCGGGTCCGCGACCAAGATCGTAAAAGAGATAGCAGAAAATGGTGACCGTATGTCCCAATCTCTCTTTTATTTTTCGCATTTTCTGAAAAGAAGGTAACAGCTCTCTTGAATAGCGCAGACGGCGCCCCAACCGAAGAATTCTGCTGCAAAGAATACATGCGTAAGGAGCAATCTGACTTTGGCTGGGATTGGGCCCCAAAGATATCACCTGCAGGAATCTGGCAGCCGTCGCGGGTCGTGCAGCTGAATGATGCTTCACCTGTATATGTGCGAAATGCTTTGATTGATATATTTCGGAAAGGTCAGATGAACAATATCCCGCCCGATCAGTCCCAGCCCTGGGTCTTCAATGTGAGCCTTGATTATCTAGGCATCTTGCCTCGGGATTCCTCGCTGCGTGTCTTCTTGAAGGATGCGAGCGGAAAATTAATATTGGATCAGCCTTTGGGCGATATTCATCAATCTACGAGAACGATAGAGGGGAGTATCGCTATTGACCCAAGGTTGGTTGACCTTTGGTGGCCGACAGGGCTAGGATCACAACCGCTCTACGATGCCACTATCAAGATTATTCATGGCGAGAAAGCCATTTCAGAAGTTCATCGCAGAGTTGGATTTCGAACTGTCGTTCTAAATCTGCTACCGGTGACGGAAGAGCAGCAGGCTCGGGGTATTGCGCCTGGCTCAAACTTTCACTTCGAAGTTAATGGCCATGAATTTTATGCCAAGGGCTCAAATCTTGTTCCGCCTGACGTCTTTTGGCCAAGAGTGAACGAAACTAAGATAAGAAAGTATGTCTGGTCTCTATATCCGGACGATTTATGTACTAATTTTATCTTCTAGCCTGTTTGAAGCCGTTGTTGTCGGGGTAAGAATCCAACTCTCTTTAATCTTTGGTTAAAACAAGCTAATCTAGACACAAGAATCAAAACATGCTGCGAGTATGGTCATCCGGTGCCTATCTTCCTAGCTGGATCTACGACATTGCAGATGAGATGGGCATCTTCCTGTGGTCTGAGTTTGGTGAGTTCAAGTTACCCCAAAATGGCACTCCATTCAACCATTAATATGCGCCAGAATTCTCCGATGCTGAATATCCCGCCAATGCCAGCTATCTGGCTCAATATCAGGAAGAGGCAACTTATCAAGTCGTATGAAGTCATACATCTCTCTCCCCTCGTTCGGTAACTGATAATGAAATAGCGTCGCGTCAATCACCATCCAAGCCTTGCCCTCTGGGTCGGTGGCAACGAACTAGAGCAGATCATGTTAAGCTATTTCTTTGATCCTGATAATCCCGGGACTCTTCTGCGCGAATACGAGCATATCTTTCTAGAATTGCTCATTGGGGCCGTTTACTCAAATACAAAATCGATCAGCTACATTCCGTCATCGTGAGTGTCTCGTTATCTTTTAATCTTTTTTTTTTTTACTTCTTAACGAATGGGATAAAAGCACATACAACGGATTCTTGAGTTTGAACTTTAGCTCCACGATGCCCCAGATTCCACGATATCACAATACTTCCGGGCCAGACTATATTTACGCCGATACAGGTAAGTACTCCATTTAATCAAAAACTAAGTTCCTCGCATTCACTGATCGTACATAGACACATATAACTATGATGCGAGCCAAGCCTTCAACCTGAGTTCCTATCCAGTTGGTCGATTTGCAACCGAATTCGGATTCATCTCCATGCCCTCGCTTCATTCCTGGAAACAAGCAATACCAGATGACCAGCTCTCTATGTTTTCAGATATGGTGATTCATCACAACCGACATTATCCCTTTGGAGGACCAGTGAATGCTACTGATCGAGAACTTTCGGTTATAGGGCTCCAAGAGATGACTGCTGCGGTACAAGATTGGTATCCAATCCCAAATATGCAGGACAGCGTAGCAAACTTTAGGTAAGTTTACAGCTTTGAATACGGATCGTCTTTTTCTAAATGGTATTCTAGTGCATGGTGCTGGACAACTCAGGTCTTCCAAGCCGACTACTATACCTCCGAATTGGCCTTCTTTAGACGCGGTGCCGGGATGCCACAGCACAATCTCGGGTCGCTTTATTGGCAACTTGAAGATCTTTGGTATGGAATTCTCATCCTTTTAGGTCTTCGGGATGTTGGTACTGATGTATTATGTATCCAGGGCTGCACCCACATGGTCCAGCATCGAACCCGACGGTCGCTGGAAGGTGCTCTTTTATCGTGCGAAAGACATCTTCCAGCCCGTCATCGGGCATTCTTTCTACAACTCGACCACGGGTGATCTGGAAGTCTGGGTCATGTCCGACCTTTGGTCTCCATTCAGTGGGACGGCGAAGCTGAGCTGGATGGATTGGAATGGAAAACCTCTCTCTGGTTCGAGAAAGCCTGTATCGAAGACGATTCCGTTCACCGTTGGCGCCATCAACTCGACTCTTGTATTCAAGACAAATCTTCGACATGACTATCTTGATCTTGATTTGTCAAATACCCTCCTTCGAGTGAATATCTCCGATGACGGTGTCACGTCCAACGAGTCCCCAAAGAAGACAAATGCGCATACATCTTTCTTTCATCCAGAGTCATTGGCAAAGGCAAAGATCGAAGACCCGGAGCTTCAGGTCTCCCGTTCTGCAGAAGGCCATAATTTCCGTGTTGAAGCTAACGGCGGAGTGGCTGCGTGGGTGTGGTTGGATCATCCACTTGGGGTGCAGGGCTATTTCTCAGACAATGGATTCTGGCTGACCCCGGGTGAAAGCAAGAACGTCCAATTTACAGTCAAGATGGACTGGACAAATGGAGAATGGGCGGGTGGTGTTTTAGTTAGGAGTATTTGGAATAATACTTTGACCAACTGAGAATTGAGAGCTCAAGTTCGTCTAGATAGAACGGGTTCACATTGTCATCTATGATCAATGAATCCCTCTATGGATTAAGAATCATTTCTAGGAACTTTGAAGAAAAATTGAAAGCATGACACGCTTTCCTCCAGGGCTGGCAATCTGCAGGGTCCCACTTTGCACTTCCCACATTCCTTTCAACTCTATAGAGATCCTTGTGTCCTCGATCTTAGCAGTACCTCGACCTCGAACGATCGGAAACGATTCTCCTGCTAAGCATGCACTCTACCTTGAGCCTGAGCCGGCCTCCTACAATGTGACATGTGTTGGTATGCAGATCCATTCTCGCATTAAGTACAGGCTAACTCATCTTTCCTACTTACAGCACCATTCTACGGCACTTGGAAATAAAGAAAGCAAATCGGGAATACACTTGAACATTCTGTTCAGACCGGTTGAATGGAAGGCCGGAGAAAAAGAATCGAGGGGAAAAAAGGAAATCGTGGGAATGAGACAAGTCTGCTCTAACGAGCATCGATAGAGCCGAGAAAGAAAATAAAATAGAAACGCCTTTTCGGATACTAGAATACCGCCAAAACCTCAAAGTCCATTAAGACGGTATCTCATAGTCCGCCACCCTGTCGGGGGTGGGTGGCCTTCCGATGCGGTTGACTGGACTGGGCTGGTTGGGGTTGACAAAGCCCCTTTTATCGAGTCGAACTCGCAAGCGTAGGCTTCACGCGAGGCTTCATGTAAATGCACATCATCCGCCAAGGCACGGTCGGTGTAGAAACAGATTCAAACTAAATTCACCAGGTATGGACACCGAATCGGGTCGAGCCGTATGCCTTTCGGATATCATAACTCCGCTAAAAATAACCCGAGGAAAATATGACAAGAGAAGGGAAAGAATAAAAACAGATCTCTCATGGGGTGGGATATCGGATGAGAGGGAGATTGTGTCGACAACGCACGATGCAGGAGGCGGAATGAAGTGAAGAGGATTGGTGGTGATAGTCGTATGCCTTAGCGATGATCAGGGTTGGTGACCTGCAAAATGCGGCGCGAGAAATCATGGTCGTCGTCGATACTGCCATTGCTCTGGCGGCGCTCGGCCATATAAGATCCGTCGAAGCGCGAGTCCGACATCTGCTGGTGAGTATTACCAGAGAAGCCGCCTCCGGCACCACCCTCAGCCTTTTGCTTGCGGGAGCGGTAGAAGAAAAATCCACCACCAGCCAGAGCTGCGACACCAACAACACCAACAACTACACCCGCAGCAATCGCAGCCGTGTTGGTGCCACCACCCTTAGAGCCACTGTCATCGCTCGATGCGGCGCTCGTGGGGGTTGTAGTTATAATAACGGTATGGCCTCCAGCGTTCGTCGAGACCGACTCCACTGCGGCATCAGTCTTAGTTGGGGAAGAGTCGCCAGTAGTGGTGGTGGCCGTGGTTGATGAGCTCTCATCACTACCGTTGTCAAAGCTGTATACGGAATAGAAGCCGTCACCGCCGCCTAAAAGTAGTAAGTATTGGATCAGCAAGACAAATCGAGTTATCATGGAGGTTCCATCATCAGCATCAACAACATACACTTGTTATCCGGATAGCCTGCGCAGTCGGTATCGCACTTGCTGGTGGCGACCTTGTCGGAAGAGTCAGGCGCGGAGTTACCACACAGGCATTGCTTTCCGTTTGTCGTGGCAAAATATGAGGAGCTCTTGCTAGTGCAGTGATCCGAGCACCATCCAGTACTCTGGTACATGTAAGTTGTTGAACCGCTGAGGCTTCCCGCGCTGCTAAAGCAACCGACAAAGCTGCTACCAGCTCGTTTGTGAATAGCCATATGGTGGAATGACTTGGCCGAGGCGGAGCCGACCACCAACAGGAGGCTCATGATAGCTTCTGTGGTGAAGCGCATGATGACGAGAAGAGGGAGGAGAGATCTAGATCACGAAAGAAAAAGAAGGTGGGAAGGTAGTACCGCTCCAGACACAGTCGGAACGGATGGAATGAAGAACCAGGAACGACCCGCGTAACCCTTGGGAACTTCTCGATGGGCGAAAGAAAGGACGACTAAAAAGCAATCAACGTCGTCACTTAAGAATCTCCGGGACTCGAGTCGGCGCGGAGACCTCGAGCAGGGCCTCGTTGAAGGGAGAAGCTCGGCTCCTGGATTATCGCAGACGCGGAAGACGAGTGAAGGAACGATAGATCGATCGATATGAAGGAGCGGAATTTGGAAGGGAAACAGCGAGAGAAATGGGGGTTTGGAGGATCCCCAGGTGAAACGAATCAAGTGGACGAGGGACCGGTTTCACAGCGCTTGCCCCCCTAATCGGCTTTGTGAGAAGGGTCAAAGGCGGAATCGGATTGGCGAAAGCAAGCGGTCGAGTTTGGAACTGGCGTGAAAGGAGGGTCCCTCGATGTAAAGAGCGTGAGGGTGCGTGTATTGGGGAGTGGGATGTCGATGGAGAGAAGGAGGGAGAGTCTTCAGAACGAAAGGGGGAGTAGTCCGATGGGGCCTGACGGGCGTGTTCTCCGCTTGACTTCTCGTTCATCCGTGGACGCTCTGTAATAACTGTACAGAGAGTACAAAGTATCCCACACAAGTCTGTGTGTCATGTGTACAGGGTACACATGTGTAATAGGGGTCCGTTCCCCAGAGCCAGAGCACCGGAGAGGTTAGGGTACTTAGTGCCCCATACTAATTTACCAGGAGATAGAGGTACCGGTACATACTTGGCAATACTTGGCTGTTATTTACTAGTATCGTATAAGAAGAAGGAAGGAACTGCAGGAGGGCTGTACAGAATACCGTACTCTGTATGGACATACAGAGGTACCTTATGGACTCTCCCGTTTGTTTGTGTGTGTTCCTGGCGGTAATCAAACGACCCCACATCTACTCCATCTTTCTCCAATCAAATCTCTTGTTTACGCTGACCTCATCAGGTACGACCCTGGTCCCGCAGCGATCGCTTTCCCCTTTGACCAGACACGGCTTGACTGGTGCCACTCCGGCCCTTGTCCTGTACCCCCTGTGGCCCTTGAGTGGGAGATGACTGTGGCGCCTTCTTATTATCTTCATGCGATCATCACTTGCCACATGAACATGAAACCCCTCCGAGGCCAATGCCCTAACCGACGCGAATTGGAATTAACTAGGGCATATCAACTCTCTCCAACAGTGGGAAAATGGCTTCCTTATTTGAGATGTACTTGCCCCCTTTACAAATACGGTTACTTACGCCTGTGAGGGAAATGAAACCCGTTAGCGCATGAAGCCCATTTCCCGACTGATGCCGCCAGCGCTAGGGATTAAGCCTACAGTAGCCCTCGTCTAGTCTTGCCTCGGGACAACCAGGGCATATACTATACTACATCTCCCTACTATTTAGTTAGCATGATATTCCATATCTTCAGAACTGGAACACTCGAGTGCATTCGAATTTCGACTGTGTGCAACCCCTTTTTTGCAGGGGCATTACCACGGATTCTCAACGGACACTCCCGGCGGTGGACCAGACACCCAAGGATGCACTTCCTTTGCCGTATCCATACCGTACCTAGGTATGTATATTACATCCACAGATATCAGTGCCAAGTCACTCCAATCATCCGGTCTATCCGCACATCGACATGTGGACGGCGTACAGATTTAAGACTAGAAATTCCCGTGACAAAATCAAAGACAACAGAGTACATAGAATGAGGTCTTTGAGTGCCTGATCATCATAGTGGATTTACCTACAACCGCTCTTGGCTACGTAACTATTTGTCCAACCCACACTTGCTTGCCCAACCACATTCGTCTCCGAGCGATGAATTGTCTTTAAGTCCACTTTTGCAGCCTGCGTCATCGTCAATCTAATTAGCACAAGAGTAGCTCAAAGAAAACTCAATTCTGGCATTTTATCATTGAATGAAATACTAGTAGACTGAATACGATGCACAATATTAAAGGTGAACTACTAGTAGTAGGCGCTAGTACTTTTCAACATCATTCGAAATTGATTTGAATATATATACATATCATTACACCAGTGCTACTATCTACAAGCAATAATATCCCGTGGTTAATGAGCCTGACTCAGAGTAGAGGTACTAGCAGTATGTACTCCATGTTCATCTGGGCAAGTTGCCATATACTACTATCACTACTAGTACATCCACCCGCGAGTTCAACTGTGAACCTGAATCCGAAGCCAGAAAAAGAAAAACACTATATTTTCCGAGACATATTAGTCTCTGTCGCCGATGTACCCCAAAAATGGTGCCCAAAGGATCGCTAGCGAGGACTCCAAGTCGGAGTGACCCCAGGATCGGCTTTCGAAGATCCTCTAACTTCAGCCTCCAGTACTTATGTATCTATTTCAGTTGAATTTCAATTTAATTCGACATTATGCCCGGATTTGCGGAATACATGCCATCTCGGAAATAGACGAATATACAAAATGAATTCTGTCACACCTGTTTCCTTCAACCAGGCAAGGATCTCAAGCATACCGTAAGGTACATAACCAATCCACCCCACTGGATGAACCACCCCGCCGCATAGATAAACAGTTCATCTTAAATGAAAAGCAAAGCAGCGCACGACACTGTCCAGACCTGTCCAATCCGGCAAATTGACTCACCACCTGTTATTTATGGAGTCGTGGCGTCCGCTAGAGCGGTCGCAACCCCCCACTTCCTGCCAGAAGAAAATCTTGGGTGCATCTAGCCCCTTGCGCCGCCAGGATCAAAATTGAACAACGCAGCGGGTGTAAAAATTTCAACTCGTTCTGTATGTACTCTGTAATAGCGTATGTTTTCGCTGCTGTGGGTTCCTAACTTTGCTTGGTAGGGATTGGTGGTCTAGAACTTACCTAGGTACCGATGGCCTCGCTTGCATGAACGGCCATTAATCAGCCAGCTACGGATTTTGTGTCGTGTGGGCAACATCTGTACTCCGTACGGAGAACCCTGAGGCACTAAATGAGTAGAAGACCCTGAAGAGACCTCTCCATCGTGCTCTTCAGCTAAGAAGTGACAGCTCGAACCGACCCACTCCATTAAATTGGTCGAGTCCTCGGATCAATGGTTGCCTGCGGAGTAATAGGGTGTTTCATCTCATCTATTTGACCCCTGAGAATGCAACGTCGCCTTTTGGCTTGTGCACTTGGCTGGGCAACCGGCACAAGTGGTTTTCGGTGTAGATTTACTCGGAAACTGGCTTGAATGGAATAAAAAAGCATGCCGAGCTGAGAGCCTTTCGTCTTCGACTGCGAAAGCGTCGCCAAAGTAAGCTTGTTGATATTCGGGCCAACAAACTCAAATTTTTATTCGCTTTTCTCAATTACAAACTATACAAAGGCTTTGGCGACTCGAAAGATACTTCCTACTACTCCGTATATCATACATCAATATTCAACTGGAAACTGCACTGAAAATCAAAAGAGCCTCATATTACAGCGTTACTTCTCGTTTACCTGGGTGGTACCAAAATAAAATAAATCGAAGCAAGATTGAAGCTTTCCAAGCATCAATACACATTATTACTACTAGTAATATCAAATATAAGAGTTGCGAGCGAACTTCCCCACAGAATCCTTCGGAACTTGAATCTGCTCTCCATACGAATTTCGCTCCTCCATATAGAAAAAGCAGATCCCCTCATTGCAGACATAATGTATTCCACGAGGTACAGAATGATCGTAGCCGTTTATTTGACGTCTACTTGGCTCTCCACATTCACAAAAAGGGTTGCTAAAGTCCATACCTCGACCGTCCCAGAATGTCAAGAACGTATAGCAGCTCCCGCATTGGTAATATGGTCTTCCTGCGTTTCCATTGGCATTTTTATCGCTGACTCGTTTGTATATGCCGTCGTGGCCGCAGACTCGACAGATCACGGCGAAAGTCATATTGCTGGAATCTATCAGGATATTTAGCTGTTTATTGTCTCCAGGGCTTGTGATTAATTCGGGCTTGGGGCGTCCAGACCGTGAACGAAAGGGGCGAGAGTAGTAGCTGCAAGGCTCCAGAGCTTGTCGGTATATCAGCTTTACTTGGGCAACTTGAATCGAGGTCGAGTGAGTGAAGCTCGCCTTGAGGACATGACTAGCTCTACAAGAAGAACCATGTAACGATTCTTGACGTTTCGTCAACATTGCGCGCGTATTTGGCTCTCTATGGTCCCCTTGGCTATGTTGAATGTTGATTCCATTTCGGCTGGGACCGGATCCTATAACCATGGGTCAAAAAAACCAATTCATTCAATCGAAGACATTCATATTCGTTCTATTTATGCTCTATTCCAGAGCGGCTTTTTTCACATCGTTGAAGATGTAGACATTTACTCTATGTTGAGTAGAGAATATTGACGACCCCTGTACTGGGCTGGTATCATCTATTCAACTAGGCCCGAAATCATCCACAATTAAGTATATTGAGATCGTGTCCAGGCCTGCTTATAAACAGTAGAGTTTCTCTCGTTTATTTTCATGCCCACTTGTCCAGAAAAGGGACACTCTTCAGGCAATTACTCCCAAATGTATTACCTGACCAGATCTTGGTTTGTCACCTCAAGCTTAAGGCTTAGGAATGTGTATCGTCTTGCTGACCATCATGCAGCCGTGCAAGACAAACATCAAAGCGACCGGATGGAACTCGAAGATCGTACCCTCAGCAACCAGACCGAACGGAATGTTCTCGTGAGTCCAGCTTTCGGAAACCCAGTACGCCATAAGACCGACAATTCCCAGAGTAGTTGGGATAGGGGTACCCTCGAAGTATTTGGACTTTCCGCTTTTATCCTTCGGGAGAACAGCGACCGTGACGTTGAACCGAGCCAGGCGGGTGAGACCGCAGAGAACAAAGAAAGTGAGGAGAACGTGATCGACAGAGGTGCGGATACCGAGCGCAAAGGCAGCAGCAGCGGGGGCGAGGCCGAAGGAAATCTGTCCAGATACATTATATGGTTAGCGGCCGGTTAATAGGGTCAGGGGAAGGGTAAAAGTTTAACCTACCAGATCCGCGAGGGAGTCGAGTTCCTGGCCCATCAGTGAGGACTTATGGCGCCACCGGGCAATCTTTCCGTCCATGAAGTCGAAGAATAGACCGAATGGCATGAAAGCCAGAGCAGCCCACAGGGCACCGTAGTCTGAGGAATCACCGAGACAGTAGCGCATGGAAGAGAAGACGGACATCACTGTTCCCAACGGTTAGCCGAGGATTGTTGAGTTGTTGGAGAAACCGGACTTGCCTCCGCAGAATCCTGTGAGGAATATAATATCAGTATCCAGGAGGTTTAGAGTATTTTATAGAGCTTGATGTAAAGCTTACCATTGAGCTCAGTTACCAAATCGGCAAGGTGAAGGGCCCTGATGAAAGTTTAGCGGAAGCCTGGTAGGAGTTAACGGCGGGGAAAATCTCCGGGGACTGACTTGACCAAGCTGAAATGTCCATGGTCTGAAGAAAGAAGCATTTTCTGCTTTTCTTGGCCTGCGCGTGTGAGTTTCACATGTCTCTGTGGGGTTGAAAGATGATCGCAAACTAACCTCCGTCGCCGGACGGGACGTTGGAACTATTCGACGCCATGGTCGAGGTTCTGCGAGACATGCTCAGGGAAAAAGATTGAAAGTGCTGTCGGATCGAAAGGGGGTTGAAGAGGGGACTGCGGGAGGAGGAATGGGCAATTAATCCTGCTTGAAAGTGTTGACGGGCACGCAGTTCCGTAGAGCGGTCAACGTCATTCCCGATGTGCGATAGCCGGGGCTGGCGGTGTGCCACATGAGGCTGTGCACACAATGAACTAGCCACACTGCCGCACCAGCCACATATGGCTTGGCATTCCAGATTTATGCGTGGCTACAATTAAATATCAAGTACGGAGCACTCATGTGTATACTGTAAAGCATCCATTGAACATTCGAAACAAGAGCAATCAGATCGTCTTTTTGTGACTGGATATATTCTACAGTCCCTGCAGTCACGGAAACAAGCAGTTGTGTCAGGATGCACAAGAAGTAAAGGAAATGTTCCTGCAAAAGCTCCCAGATCCCCCAAACGCCGAAAGAAGACAATACAATCGGTGAGTAGTATCTTCACCATCCTCGGCCTCGGCCACCACCACGAGGAGCTCCACGGGAGAATCCACCGCCGCGACCACCGCCGCGGCCACCGAAACCACTACCGCCACGACCACCGAAACCACCACCTCCTCCACGGGAGAAACCTCCACCACCTCCACGAGAGAACCCTCCGCGACCGCCACGGGGAGCCCCACGGCCACCTCCAAATCCGCCGCGACCACGTGGGGCACCACCGGCGCGCTTGGGCTTAGCAGCTCCAGGAGGAGGCTTGGGCTTGGGGAGGAACCTAATACGGATCGTTAGCCTTCTTGCTTCTCGCAATGGCCCAAGGGGCAAAGTGGAAGGGAGAACGTACTTCTCCAGAGGGAGGAGCTTGTCACCACCAATGAAGACCTTGTCGCCAGTCTTGAAGGATTCGCTTTGGATACCCTCGGAGGTCTTGATGGTGAAGTAGACCTGGTTGATGGGGCCGAGGACCTCGTCAACCTTGCCGATTTGGGTCTATTAAAAGAACTTGTTAGCTCTAGTTCATTGCGACAATCATTGATGGGTTGTTATATCGGGAGCGTTGGCGTACCTTGTTCTCGAGGTAGATCGGGGCGTTGAAATACGGGATCTTGGGGTTGATCGACTCGCAGACGATCTCGTTTTCGCAGCTGTGCATCACACTGCCCATTTCTAGTGAGGAAGGTCAGCATATCTATCGTCGGAGTCGTATAGACGGAGTAAAAAGTACCGAAGACTTGGGCTGGGGGGGCCGAACGACTGCTGGAAGCCTCCGCGACCTGGACGGAAAAAAATTTCGTTAGCTGCCCCATCCGACTATTTCGCATGCGACCATAGTTAGCATTGCTTACCGCCGCCTCTAGAGCCGAAGCCACCCCGGTTAGCACCTGTGCCCCTTCCTCGGAAAGACATGTTGAGTTGTTGCGGGATTTGGGGTTGGACGAAGAAGTTTTCGGATGGTGGAAACTTCGTATGCATACGGCGTTCCGGGTACATCGCTTGTAAGGGCAGTTTACAGTCACATGACTCACCGCCCGCCCGCTTTGCGGTAGAGTCATATTATTATTTCTGGATCAACTGAGTCAAAAAGAGTCAGACTTGGATTCCCCATCCTTACCTCACGGTCAATTTCTCTGTCATTGTTTCCAGAGGCCTTCACCATGGCTTCCGAAGCCCCCAAGGACCTTCCCGTGCGCCCTGCCGCCGAAGCTCAGGGAAATCCTGCTGCTGCTGCCCCGCCTCAAGACGCCAAAAAGCAAGCCCCTCCTAGCGAGCCCCTCCCCGACTGGCTGATCGAGCGCAACAACCTGTTCGAAGAATTGTGGCAAAAGCATCTCAAGGATCTCGCAGCCAAAGACCACCATTCGATTGAAGTTTCTCTCGATATTGGCGACGGCAACCCCAAGTCGGTCCCGGCAAAGGCCTTCGAAACTACACCTGGCTCATTCTTGCGCGATGTGCCTAAGGACGTGGCTGCCGAGGTTGTTATCGCGAGGGTCAATGGAGAGCTTTGGGATTTGAACCGTCCCCTTGAGGGCGACTCTGCCGTTATCCTGGTCCCATTTTCCGACCCCGAAGCTCGGAATGTTTGTATGTTGAGCTCTGCTTCTCCTCTCAAGCTCATATCTAATATCATACAGTCTGGCACTCGTCTGCTCACTGTCTTGGAGAGTCTTGCGAAGCTCACTTTGGCTGCCTTTTGAGCCACGGTCCTCCTACGCCCCAGGGTTTCTGTATGTCAAGCTCTACAACTTCCAAGGATTAGAAGAGGGTGCTAATAAGTTCTTAGTCTACGACATGGCTATTCCTGGAGGGTATGTGAATATCTTATTACTTATTATGGTCCGGCTTTGCTAATCTAGCCAATCCGAATAGACGTGCCGTCGTTGAAAGCGATTGGAAGCCTCTTGAACAGAAGGCTGCCAAGATTTTCAAGCAGAAGGAGAATTTCGACCGCCTGGAGGTATCTAAGGACGATTTGCGTCGTATGTTCAGCTACTCTCCCTACAAGGTAAGTAACATTTGCCGTCAAATGTCCGTGCAGCCTATGGGGCTGGGGTGATTCCGGTGGATTGAGCTAACTCGATGTTAAGCTGCACTACATCGAAAAATTGGTCGTGGGCGAGTATAGCACCGTTTACCGCAACGGCAATCTGGTTGATCTTTGCCGTGGCCCTCACATTCAAAACACCGGCAAGATCAAGACCTTCAAAATCATGCAAAACTCCTCTGCCTACTTCCTCGGCGACCAGTCGCAAGACAGTCTGCAGAGAATTCGAGGTATGAAAAATTCACATGTCACGAGCAAAGTTCACCAAATTAACAGTATGCGTTCATAACAGGTGTCGCGTTCCCAGACAAGAAACTACACGCAGCCCATATGAAGTAAATTATTACTGGATTATCTCAACTTAATGACTCTGACCGTTCTATAGGTTCCTCGAGGAGGCAGAGAAGCGCAACCACTTGAGACTGGGCAAGGAGCAGGAGCTCTTCTTCTTTGACGATGCTTCTCCCGGATCCCCTTTCCTGCTCCCTGCTGGTACAAGAGTGAGTCATTCGTCGAATACCCGCTCTATCTATCTTTACTAACCTTGTAAGATCTTCAATGCCATTCAAAAGCTGCTTCGGTCGGAGTACCGCAAGCGCAACTACCAGGAGGTCCAGACCCCGAACATGTTCGATGTCAGCCTGTGGAAGGTCAGTTTCATCACATTTTACCTTTCTCGGTCAATACAGCCACTGACTCGAAAGTTAGACATCCGGTCATTTCCAGCACTACGCTGATGATATGTTTCAACTGAATGTGGAGAAGAAACAATGGGCTCTGAAGCCTATGAACTGCCCAGCCCACTTTCTTCTGTTCGGTCATCGCGAGCGTAGTTATCGCGAGCTTCCTATGCGGTATGATTGTTTTTTCCGCAGAAAAATCCGAGATGTTGACCCATTATTGACCAAAACCTAGTATTGCGGATTTTGGTGTTCTTCACCGCAATGAAGCCTCCGGGGCGCTTAGTGGACTAACTCGAGTGAGGAAGTTCCAACAGGACGACACCCACATCTTCTGTACCGAAGATCAGATTGTATGTTGTTATCCATTCCCTCTCCTGAATCTATCTTTTCGACTAACATATTTCCACCCAGTTTTCGGAAATGGAGAATCTTTTCGATTTTCTCCAAAGTGTTTACGGGCTGTTCGGGTTCACTTGTACGCCATTCCAAACCAATTAAACCCCCACATGATTATGAACTGACATGCTCTCAGTCAAATTGAAGCTGAGTACAAGGCCTGAGGTCAAGTACATGGGAAAACTTTCTGATTGGGACTACGCGGAGTTGCAATTAACAAATGCGTTGAACAAATTCTGTGGCAAAGACTGGACTATTGATCCGGGTGATGGTGCATTGTAAGTTCCGATAAGGCATTTCCAGCTTACATCAAAATGCTGCATCAAGGCCACGAGAACTAACTATTGATCAAATTGCAGTTACGGACCGAAGGTTGGCATTCTAACATTGCATGCATCAAGGGCACGAGCTAACTATTGAAGATTGACATCCAAATTAGCGATGCACTTGGCCGCGAATTCCAGTGTGCTGTGCGTACTCTACCCCCTTACAGAATCAATCAATCAGCTAACAATAAATTAATAGACTATCCAACTTGACTACCAGGCTAGCCAGAACTTCAAACTGTCATGTGAGTGCCTTTTCCACATGTCAACCACCAGTGGCACATGTACGGCTTTCTAACCTTTCCCAAAACAGATCAAAACAACGAAGGAAAGGACAAGAACAGCGAAGAGGCCGTGAAGGAAGGCGATTTGCCCTTTGGCCGTTCTAGACCAGTGGTCATCCACCGTGCAATTGTACGTCGAGGCGTATCCCTTTCCAACCCGCGTGCAAAAGGGTATTCTAACGCAAATACATCTCTAGATCGGTAGCTTTGAGCGATTCTTGGGCATCTTGATCGAACATTTCGCCGGAAAATTCCCGTTCTGGCTGAATCCGAAGCAAATCGTAATCGTTCCAGTTATGCCCCAACTGAACGAGTACGCCGAAGAGGTCAAATCGATCTTCACCGCCGACAAACTTCACGTGGAAGTTGACACCAGTGGAAACACCCTCCAAAAGAAGATTCGTAATGCGACCCTCTCCCAGGCCAGTTTCATCTTCGTCGTGGGTCAACAGGTATGCTCCTCCGCTATTGCACTCGCTGTAAGAAGCACAGCTTGAAAGAACTGATTACTGACAATCTTAAAAAGGAGATGGAGGCTAAAACAGTAAACGTTCGGGTCCGGGACGACCCCTCTAGCCACGCCAAGGGAGTTATGATCAGCATTGATGAGATGAGAGAGAAGCTCCGGGTCCTGCGCAAGGAGCGTCGTCTCGTAGGCACTTTGTAGGGGATGTAACTATTTGTTGCCTATTTACGAAAAGTGAAATGAAGTACAATGTTGATGTTCAACTGGTCCATTCCATGAATCTTATACTATACAATCCCAACTAGCAGAGAAAAAAGGAGTTTGGAGTAAGGTACAGAGCATGCTCCCTTCAAAGTGAAGCTGGCTAAGTTAAATGATATCTTCAACTTCCTGGATGGAAGACAAGGTCCGCAGAACGCAGGTTTTTTAGATGACTAAAGAGTACTCATTTGAATTCGCACCGTTTTAGGCCGACGAAGCGGTGGCCATTCCCGCGGTAGTGTCTCTGGCGTGCGATTCGAAAAGTTAACAACTAGGTAAACACCCCTACAGATAGAGCTCGTACCTACTAGTACTTAGTCAAAGATCTTGGCAAATCTATCGGTCTATCACTCTAGTAACTCTATGTTCCTATTAGATGTAATGTTATTTTGCAGGTACCATCATCGAAGTCTTTTGCCTTGGAAATAGATATCAATCGCTTTCCTGAAATTCTTGGGAGTTGAAGCCTTGACACGGTTTGTAACGTTTGTGAAGTTGGTAAAGTGTGCCTGGAGAACAATTGGTCCAAGACAGCCTAAGGTCGTGTCGAGGCCTAGGATAGGCAGAGCACCTTCCTTTTTGCCCTCTTGCCCTCTTGCCATCTTGCCCTACCATCTCTCACCTGCTCTTTCTTTCGAATCACAAAACACGCACATCCGGCCCTTTTCTCTTTCTCGCACACCCTCTTGCTATTGCCTCTGCTGGTCATTTTCATCGAGTTCTACTGCTGCTCGATCCGGTAAGAACGAACCCCCTCGTCTTTCCCGTCAGAGGAAGTTGACAGCATTCTCAATATTCTCTCTTCAAGATGCTTCTACTGCTCAGTCTATTGGGCCATTCGGCTCGCTTTCACCTAACATATTATCGGTTTCCCGAGTCAGTTTCGGCTCATTATCGACGATACCGGCCTGCTGAACTTTGGTAAACTTTCGACATGTGCATCCCGAGTCGCGGTTATTAACAGTCTGCCATGGACAGGGTCTCTTACCTCTTTCTCGTCAACAGGACAGGCAGCATGGGGCCATTCCATTGCACCCAGTGTCAGGCGAGCTTCACTTGCCAGCATTATCTCGATCAACACTTCGAAAGGAAACATGGAGAAAAGACAGTTCCCTGTACGTGGGTAGACAAGGAAAATTGTGACGAGATGTTTAAGACTTCAGCCGAGGCAAGGAAACATATCCCGGATGCTCACGGCGCAAAGACAGACTGTGACAAGATGTTCAGAACACAACAAGGGGCGACTACTCATGCGAGGCACGTGCATGAGGCAGAGAAGTACAAGAAATTTCCTGTCCAGAGGATAGCTGCGACCAGAAGTTCTTTTCAAATGCTGAGATACGGAAACATATAAGGAGTGCGCATCAGAAAATCAAATCTCCATGCCCACAAGCAAAGGAAGAAAACTGTACCGCGGTATTCACTTCAGCGTGGTATGCAAGGACCCAGGACCTCAACCCTCGACATCTGTGTCAAACCCCGGAGCTTGAGCGAAACAAGAGAACGTTCAAAATCCTCCAAGAAGCAGAGGAACATACTCGGGACGAGCATGGGACAGGAACTTCTATCCCGGTGTGGAAAAGCATGCCAGATTTCCCCTGAAAGATATGGACGGCAACGTCCTTCTTGGTTGGGCCATTCATCCAAGCCTCATCCATCTACCGGGTGATATGTTTGGATGCCCAATTGAAGGTTGCAAGCGGGTATTGAACAACATCAACGTGGTGTGCCTTCCTTGCCTAGGCGCTCATTTGAATGCTCGTTGGGTTTGCCGTTTTGGCTGCGGAAGAATTTTCAAGAATAAGGAAACATGCACTGCAGCATATTAGATATATATGCCAGATACCCCAATGCCTTCAAAGCATACAGGGTAAAGGAATGACTAAACAGAGGGTTTATGGCCATTATCGGGATCAGCACGTGCAAAGAGGTCACTGCGCAGATGGGGAGTGTAAGCCTTCAATAATGGTGAGTAACTGATATCTTTTTGAAAAGGGTATCGAATGCGATCTAACTGAATATCAGGCTTTAGGACCGGAGGATATCGCCACTGGCGTCCCCAATCGCACTAAAATCATTTGAAACCGGCGTTCTGTACCGAGACACGGGCAGTCCGAGAAAAACTAGGCTCAGGTGCAGATGCCCGCCTTGCCATGCACGGTACCTATTCAATGTGTATTTAGACTACCGTTGTGTAGGCCTAGATGAAGGCCAGACAAAGTGCAGTAAGGAACGATGCGAGAAATCATTGTTTATGCTCACTCGATACTGTGAGGCCCATCTTCGGGAATTCACTCCAGAAAGGCTCACAGACGATACGAAGGCGAAGGCGGAGATCAGGGATCTTTTTTGTGACATGGCTCACCATCAATGGCACCCAAGATCGAATCAGATGGCAGAGATTCTAACGAGAGTGGGATATGACCCAATGGCCGATATACCGCCCTCTGAACTGCTATGCATCGACCTTGAATTCCCACATACCTCAGAGCATGTGGAGGAGATTGGAATAACTGATTTCCAAGGAGTACGTCAGCTGAGCTGCTACACTGAATACAGTGAGGGTATCACTGCGAATTTGATTTCACGGGATCGCCAGCTGCCTCTTGGTTTCAATCAGAAAAGAGGGGACAAGCCTTTGCGGGAGAGAAAGGTCGGCTCAAGGCAGACCAGGTTACATCAGAACTGAGAAAGATCGGAATTTCGAAAGAAACACGGTTTGTAGCCTGGGCGGGTTCACCCTTTGGCCTTTCCTACTTGAGGACATGGCTCGACAAGGATGAGGTCCCGCGCGACCTGCTCGAGGATGAGATGTTTTGTTTGTTACTCAACGAGCGCATGAAGAAGGCGACCGAGCACCTAGGACGCCGTTGTTTTCCCGGTCTTGCTTTTCCATTGAGTCTGGTAATTTTGCTCACGGTGCTCTTCGAAGGGCATCCACTGATGGGTCACAACCAGAAGCCCAGCAGCTATCGTTGATGTTGAAATTGTTCATTGATCTTTGCAACTCCTTAGGAGAGCGGGTGTTTTTCGAAGGAAAGTTGCCCATACGGATACCGGGAACAAAGAGGCAGATGCGGGCGGAAGATTTATTTCCTTCAAAGGAGGCTCGGGCAGTTTAGTTCTACCATGTTGAAAAAGTGGAGGGAGTAGCCTCAAGATCAGCCGCGACACGCAATTGTCGATCTTGATGAGGTTGTTTATCGACCTTTGTCAGCCACCGGATCAGCGAACCCTTTTTAATGGGGAATTGCCCATTTGTCCACCGAGACAGAAGAGACAGAGCTGCATTGAAGAATACTTCCCCCGCAAAAGGGTCCGGCTGAAGTTGAAGGAGCTTGATCCTCGCACATCCCCCTAGCACTGGCACTGCCAATCTCCGATCACAGTCAAATATCTGGATATCATACAGATTCCGGCAGCGACAGCAATGTTGAATTAAGTAGTACCTAGTTAATAGAGAGAAGATCACCATTCAATAGAAACAATATGATAGCTATGCTCGCTCTATCGAATTAATCGGTAAAGAATACTACATGTACTAGTAGGTTCAAATATACGTCTTGAAGTTGCAGTCTCTAGGGCTGTATCTGAAGTGAAAACTTGACTTCTCTCCCTTATTATAATCGAAGCACTATCGTATACATTCTGGGAAGTATTCCAAGGCAAAATGTAAATTGTGAAGAAAAATGTATTAGAGTGGAGGTGGCCTCAAGGGAAGGGCAGCGATCAGCCGTGGTACCCGCGGGGTCAGCGGGGCTCACCTTTCCCTTTCTTCCTCAGCCCTTCATCATCACACCTCACACATCACTCCCCTTTTTCTTCTTTTTTCCCCTATACTTCATCTCCACCGTCCAACTCTCTCTTACACCCTCCTCCTCTTCTCCTCTTCCTCTCTCTATCCCCACTCTCCTCCCCCTCCATCTTCTTCCTTCGTGACCAACCCCGCCGCCGCCATGGCTGAGCTTCAAGGTCGCAAGGTCTTCAAGGTCTTCAACCAAGACTTTATCGTCAATGAACACTACACTGTTACCAAAGAGCTGGGTCAGGGTGCCTACGGTATCGTTTGGTAGACCTCCCCACCCCTTTACCCTCTCTCCTGCTCGAGTCACGGCTAATCCTTGTCTCTCTGTTTGTCTTTAGCGCCGCAACCAACTCCCAGACCGGCGAAGGCGTCGCTGTCAAGAAAGTCACCAATGTCTTCAGCAAGAAGATCCTCGCCAAGCGTGCCCTGAGAGAGATCAAGCTGCTCCAGCATTTCCGTGGCCACCGCAATGTACTTCCTCTCCTGCTCCCCGCTCCCGCTCGTGGCTCACCCCGCTGACCCCGACCCTCAGATTACATGCCTATACGATATGGACATTCCTCGACCGGATAACTTCAATGAAACATATCTCTACGAGGGTATGTCAAAGACACGATTCCACAAGACCTGAACCCAGGAATAACCTTTGACATTTCTTACAGAACTGATGGAATGTGACTTGGCTGCCATCATCCGCTCCGGCCAGCCCTTGACCGATGCGCATTTCCAGTCCTTCATCTACCAAATCCTTTGCGGCCTCAAGTATATTCATTCCGCCAACGTTTTGCACCGTGATTTGAAGCCAGGAAACTTGCTCGTCAACGCCGACTGTGAGCTCAAGATTTGTGACTTCGGTCTGGCCCGTGGCTTTTCGATTGACCCAGAGGAGAATGCTGGTTACATGACCGAGTATGTCGCGACAAGATGGTACCGTGCTCCAGAAATCATGTTGAGTTTCCAGAGCTATACCAAGGCCAGTAAGTATATGCCTAGCGTGATGAGTGGAGAAAGTAGACCCGTAAAGGCTAACTTTATCTAGTTGACGTTTGGTCCGTCGGTTGTATCTTGGCCGAGCTGCTGGGCGGCCGTCCATTCTTCAAGGGCCGTGACTATGTCGACCAGCTGAACCAGATCCTGCACTATCTGGGTACCCCCAACGAAGAGACCCTGTCCCGCATCGGATCTCCTCGCGCCCAGGACTATGTCCGCAACCTTCCCTTCATGCCCAAGGTTCCCTTCAGCCGTCTTTTCCCCAACGCCAACCCCGATGCTCTGGACCTGCTGGATCGTATGCTGGCCTTCGACCCCTCTTCTCGTATCTCTGTCGAGGAGGCACTTGAGCACCCCTATTTGCACATCTGGCACGATGCCTCGGACGAGCCTAGCTGCCCGACCACCTTTGACTTCCACTTCGAGGTTGTCGATGACGTCCCCGAGATGCGCAAGATGATCCTCGACGAGGTCGTCCGCTTCCGTGCAACAGTCCGTCAACAATCCCAGGCCCACGCTGCTCAGCAACAACAGATGACCCAGCAAACCAATGTCCCAATTCCCGACAACCAGCAAGGTGGCTGGAAGACCGAGGAGCCCAAGCCTCAGGAGGCGGCCGCTGGCGGCGGGCAATTGAACGACCTGGAGTCCTCGCTGCAGGGCGGCATGGACGTTCACCGCCGTTGATCCATTTGTGTGACCATTTTGTCTTTATTTTGGGGCAATCCTCGGTTATGATTCCGGCTCATCGGAACCGGTTAATCGCACCCGGCTACCCCCTGCATGTTGATATAACGAGTTAGCAAAGATATACCTCAAGAGAAGAAAGGCTGGGCGATCTGCATTATTTCTGCATTCTTCTCTTTCTTCTTCTTCTCCTTCTTCTTCTCCCGCACGTACCGGATTTGTTTGTTTTCGTCAATGCGTGCTTCCTGTTTCGTTCTTGGATCGTTTGTTGGCCTGCTCTATGCAATTTTGTACATCGATCGGGGTCTTGAACTCGACTGATCTCCGAGTGTGCTTTGGGATTGAATAGATATATTAGGCAGATCCTCTCAAAAATCGAGTTGATATAAGAGTAGTTAATGCATAGGTATCAATAATGGGTAGAAAGCGCCAAGCCTATTTAGTTCAGGCTCTAGTTCTCAGCTTCAGCTGGCCGCGGTCGCCCCCTCCGCTCCACCACAGTCCCAGATACGGTCCGAAATACAGAAGTAGACGAAGGCATAGGGTGCAGTGCCACTGGTTCCACCGGAATCTCAACCTTTGTAGAGCGCCCCCCGAAGCCAAGGCAGAAAATTGAAAATCCCGCCGCAAATGAAAATCCCCAACCAGAGGACCAGCTCTGTTCCGTAAATAACCATACCAAGTGCATCTATAGCCGGGCCAAATACTACATCCGTATTTAGCTACTTTGCTGACTGACAATGAAGGAACTAGTATCCCGAATAACTCACCAACAGAGACAAGAGAGAATAAATCACCCGCGGCGTCGATTCCAACGAAGAAGAAACTGATTCCGCGCACAGTTCGATGAACATAGATGTCCCAATAGTGTCGCAGGACCCCGGCAGCGAGTAAAGATGCGCTCAGCACAGCCATCAAGATGAGTGGCCATTCAAGGCCACGGGATTTCGCCTCCTTCAATGCAAAGATCAGTCCTGTTTCAACGCCGCCTAGGAAAAGCAGAAGCGGGACGACCGCAGCAATGCATTTCTTGACCGAGAACCCCTGCAAAATATTAGTATCTTCAGCTATTTTGTGAGCAGAAGAGTGATTGGTCATTGGCACTTACCTTCCCATAATACAAACACTGAGCCCAAGTCAGTAGACTCAGCGTTGTAAGTATCTGCGGCTGCACCCGGAGGGCTACATTGAACTCTTCCACGATATTGTAGACGCCAAGAGGGACACCGGCTACTGCCCACAGTAGCATCATTGAGCCCTGCAAGCCTTCTGTATTGTGTCTTTTGTAGTTTATGATGATTTGCGGTAGAAGCTTGAATGGTGTTAGCTGCGGTTTAAAAGTTTGATTGAAATGACTTGCCTGGATGGACCAGCATACTGCGCCGAGAGTGCCTAGGACATTCTCTGCTATTGGGTTGTTCATGCCAGTATGTGATGCTCGATTTCAATATTGAAATTTCGAGAGTAGGAGTTGGAAGAGGTAAGAGGATGGCTAGAGGGTTACTGATAAGGGTTGGGCACGTGAAGGTCGAGTCTAAGTGGATTCCCGCAAACCTATAGGACCTTCAAGGCTTGGGGATATCAAGTATCTCGAGCTAGACATTGCGTTCCTGCTTTTGGCATGAATAAAGAATTGGAAACTATATGTATCTTTTTTGAAAATAAATATGTACAGGTGGGCGTTTATAATCTTGATTAGAATTCAGCGGGGAACGGCGATGTGGGTCACAGAATGACGCCGACGGAAGAAACTAGTATTACTCTATCATGCTACGAATTCCACAAACAAATAAGTTTACTTCAATGTCTGAATTTTCCGATAAAAAAACGCTCGCTATGTAGATACTAATGAAGATAGATATCGCTCATATGCCGACCAAAGGGAAACATGTCATGATAGAGAGGGGCATCAAAATAGGCGAGTAAAATCAATGGTAGTAACCGCGCCACCAAACAGCCATACAGGCCGCAACAACTAGATCCAACATCTTGAACCCTTCATCCTCGATAACCAATTTGCCCAGTTTAGCGCTCTTTCCCCTCAGTCCTCCTCCGGCTAATTCACGGGCTAGGGAGAAATCCATTCGGTCTTCGTCCGAGTCTGCGCCACCGCTGCTAGTACTCGTACTGCGGCGTCGGTGGTGACCGAACTGGTTCTGCCGGGCGAAGCGCGAAGCACGGAGGGATGTCTTGCGGATAAGGGTAGAGGGGTTGAAGTTTGCTCTTTGGTTGTCGGTTGGAGAGGCGGAGTTGCCGGAGTAAGCACGTTGTCGGGAGTAATTGTTTGGGTTGAGAAGTTGGGAGAGGGAGGCACGCTTGGAGGTGGCTTCGGGGTCTTGCAGCATAGCATCGTTAGGGTTCTGAGGGTGTGAAGATATGTGAGAGGTGGGAGATTGGTTGTGGTGATGGTGTGATTGAGTTGCCTGGTATCGAATGTTCGCCGCTTGGAAAGGCGTGTTGAAGCGGAGCTCAGCCACAGTTACTGCTGGGTTTGGATCGCTTTCGCCTGGGGCTGGAATGGTTGCTGGGCCGGAGATCATATGCTTGCATTTCAAGCTGCGACCGTTCACACTGCTAGAGAAGGTGCAGGTGCCATTCCAGGGGGAGTTGAAAACGTAGTAGCCACTTTTCAATTTTGACGAGGAGTCATGTCCATGTCCATGCCCTGAACCGAACTCTGATGAGCCATTTGTTCCCCCGGCAGTGTCGTCAAGTTGCCTCGAGACACAAACTTGTCGATGAAACTTGCGCGGTCCAGCCGGTTGTTCAGGAGGTTGATCTTTCGGTAACGATTGTGACATCGAAGCCCCCGCAGCGCGGATGAGCTCTGGCGGAATACTTGCTGGTAGATTCGCACCTAGACTAGCCAGCGAGAAAGGCTCTTGCGACCCATTGAATCGATTATATCCTGGAGTAGATATCTCGATATCGATCGCACTGGAGTCCGCGCGCGGACTTGAAATGGTTGCGACATTCCACTGCGTACCTGAGGTGGGATCACGCCGGATGAGAGTAATAGTGAAGCCTGCGTTACTTGGAGGGGGTCGATTTTGCTTGCGTTGGCGGTTCGGGGATTGTCCTGGGCTATGTGATGACCAGGGCCGTTCGCCTGATGGACGCGACGGCAACTCAGGTCTGTTGGAGTCAAGACTATGACGTCCACCCGCCGAGAATGAGTCGTACTTCTCCTTCCACGCCTCAAACCCCTTCCCATGCAAGCCTTCTGCAAAATTGCTCCACCGATTTGTTTTCCTGACCGGCTCTTCGGGGCGTGCACCAAACGGCTCTTCACTGGGAGGCAATGGAGGAAGAGGCCGTCGTGGGAGGACTGGCTTATTTGCTGACTCCAAGGAGGCTGTCTCCGCTCCGCCGTCAAAAAATGATTGCGCAATGGCTACTGGCGTACCTGCGAATGACATGTTCTCCGCCGAGACTGCAGGCATAGGAACCGGTCTCTGTGGAAGTGGCGGGGGCACATCTTGCTGCAGAGGCTCATGGTCCAATGGCACCTTTGGTGGCAGCGCAGGAGGCTCTTGTGCAACTTCTTTCCCTCCGACTGGCTTCCGGCGAACTTGGTTCATTCGAACAAAGTCGCGTTGTGAGGGATCCTCCTCAGCTGCGGCTTCCAATGCCTCCCTCTTTCGTTGGGCTTCTTCCTCGCGCTCTTGCTCTACCTCTTCTAATAAGGCATCATCTTCGGGGGTTGCGACATGGACATAGTAGAGCGACGCATTGATTGCCTCTGCAGAAACACTCGATTTTGTGGGCGGTTTAACGGGGGATAGAAAGATATCTATTGTAAGCGCACGTAGGCACCAGTCAGCATAGGTTCCCCAGATATAGGCCGGCTGCTTCAGTCGGGCGCACAATGAAATGCAGGCGCAATGATGCAGATTCAATGATTGTATAAGGGTACATACCTTGACTACCAGGAACTCTCACGATATACAGCTGTAACGGATCGAGCTTCTCGTGGGTGGGATTGCGCGGATAGGCGGGGGGATTCGATGCGATGGTGGTGATTGACGATAGCGAGCGCGCCTCCACAGGCCCTTGGATCGGAACAACAGTCGACATGACGGGCGCGGTCGCAGTGCGCCGGCCTAAAGAAATTGAGATATCAATGTCCTGGGAGGTAGCACGTTGTTTCGTTGCGGGCAACGGAGCGGAGGGGGATGATAAACAGCGGGTCCCGTCGGCAGTGGGCGGGTTGTTAAGGTATGAACTCGGGAGATACTAGTCAATGGGGAACTGCTCGGTATTTCATAAGCCTAACAAACTTTGTTTGTAACACGTTGGCCCGTACGGAGTAAATTGGGACGCAAGGGAAGACAAAATTGAAGGTTGCCTATCCTGGGCTCCAAAGGTGGCGCAGCGCGCGGCCAGCTTGCGCAGCGTTGGGCTTCCCTTCGAATACAATCGATTACATTAGAAGAAAAATCTACGTAGAAAAAAACCCCGCCAAAGTAAAAGGTTACACGAAAGAAAATATGGGAAAAAAAAGTGTAAAAAATATAAGAGGCTGTGTGACGTATTCAACACATGGTATCTCCAGAATAGTTACAAAACCGTGGAACAAGGAAAAAGAAAATGCAGAATGAAAGGCCAAGGCAGAAAAGACAAAAAGGAGAGAGTCTCTGCAAGATGGGGGGTGTCGATATAATAGCAAGGAAAAAAGAAAGAAAGAATACTCCAGAACCTTTCAAAAACGCCGTTCATTTCCCAAGAACTCAAATGACATTAGACAACGGTCTCGGACCGTTCGCCCTCAGCAATGACGGGCACACCCAGACCACGATCAGGACTCTGCAAAACCAGCTGCTCATGGCGCCGTGCTCGCAAGAAATCGCTAACTGCGCGAATCAAAATGAACCACCCGACAATCATGAGGACATACGAAATCCATTCGCTGGTGGAAATGGCGGATATCGCACCACCGCCACCACCTCCAGACGTGTCACCAGCTGAGTTGGGATCGAAATTATGGCTATTAGGGTCTTGCGGTGGAACGTATTGCTCGCCGCCTCCTCCATCTGATCCGGTGGAATCGCTGCCTCCCTTCATATAAAATCCGTATTGAACAAGAGTAAGACCGAGACCAGCTCGGCTGCCATTCTTTGCGGCGTGGGTGGTGTGGAGGAGATAAGTCAAGAGGAAACCGACAAGCTGGAAAGACATCGAAATCATCGCATTCCATACGAATGAGAAGATGGATCCGACGGGTAGACCATCCACATAGACTTCATCGGACGAGAGGCCAGGTGCCACGATCGTAGTCTCCCAGTATGGAGGTGTGGCATCGGCGGCTGCTTCTTCGTAAGACTGAATAGTTGGATGATGCATTAGTAAAAGGAAGCGCTCCAATATGTATAAATTTCAACTTACGGGAGGCAAATCCTCGTTCTTCTCGCCCCGTTCCGGCTTGGCCGCAAGGTTGGCAAAGACACCATCATTCGACAGAGCGACAGAGCGACTCGCTCCGGACGACGGCGTAAAGTTTGGTAGTATTGTAGGTCGGCGGGCAAGCGCTGAGGCTCGAATATTATCCTGACTATCGGTCCCGGGCCCTGATGACGACGCCGCTATCGCAGCAGCCTGGCCATTATCCACGGGTGATTGAAGGTCCGGGTTGGCACGCATCAAACGTTGTCGGTCATCAGGTTCGTCATCGCTGTCGGATTCATCCTCACTTCCAAAGGCATCAGCTAAAGTTTGGTCGTCGTCATTTCGTTGCGGATCGCCCTGCAGTAAACGTCTCGATGACGGGGAAGACGATCGGGAAGGAGAATGGGAGCGGAATGATGGAGGCGGAGAAGTCGGGTTGCGATCGGATCGGTGAGGATTCAACTGATAGGACTCGGAGTCATCTTCTTCATCACGGGGGTTCACCTAAAGGATGTTAGACCGACCAGAGTCAAGTTCCGAGCGAGGCGCCCGGCTGGGGCAAGCGGATCAGCGGAGGGGAAGGAATACGAACCCGTTGATAGCGCTGCGAGCTCATTGCGAGCTGAGCGGGGGCGACGGAGAGGGAAACAGTATAAACAAAAGAAAACGCAAATTAGGAGGGTAAATAGAAGGACAAAAGAGAGAAAAAGGATATCATGTAGATGGGGGGAGGGAAGTTGGAAGAAGAGGAGGCAACAGGGAGAGTGTCGGAGTCGGAGTCAAGTGGCAGCCTCAGGCAGGTGCCATTCCTTCATCTTTCATTACCAACCACAACCATCCCCCGTCACCACCACTCAGACTCAGCACTAAAGTACTTACCACCACCCAACATGGCGAAGCCGGTATGATCTCCTTTGCCTTGAAGAACTCTTCCACAATCCTAATCTCTGAACAGTCTGTCACTCCTCGCTCCCTCCAAACCCGCATCTCCCATCTCCTCAAGCATTGGCCCTCCGATGCCGTCCGTCCAGCCTCTGTCTCCGTTCAAACATACCTCCAATCACACCTAGCCCAGAAACGCACAGAGGGATCGCCCAAGTCACAAGAAACTCCCGTACCCAAGGCTACTGGTGAGCTGTCAGAGGCGTCAGTAAATGCGCTGACCTCCCTTTTAAGTGATCGCTTTGCGCGTCGCTACCCTCTGTCGCAAAAAGTCCGGTACCCGGCGAGCGACCCAGACCACTATGACAATCTGATTCGTGAATTCGAGGAAGCACCAAGTCGCGACTGGTTCGGCCGATTAAAGAAGAGATTGGGTGGTATCCTCCGATTGTCATGATTCGACTTTTTTCTTCGCCATATACAAACAAAAAACTACCCTATTTCTCTTCCCTCGTTGTATAAATGGGATTCGCTTTGGTTATTCTAGGGTGTCGATTTTTGCTGGGACACTGCGGGGTTATATGTGATTGCATGGCATGTACTACTACTATTATTTATTTTTGCGCTTGAATTCGCTGTATTACCATTTGAGTGTACGAATACTATGCATTGGTGGCTCTCAGAAGCCTGGGAATCTTAATGAAGATGCTTTGTAAACAATTGGGAATCTTAAATTTGATTTGCCGTATTCATAAACTCCGCAAATGAGAACTATTTCCTATGTACAATATCCGGTATTCTCAATGCACGCTCCAGCGAATTCACAATTTACCCCACACTTTTTATAGCATAGGCTTAAGGTCGTCGGCAACCTGGAAAGGTGCCTCAGTCTTGGCCCTGACCTCCTCAACGGTCACGCCATCGGCAATCTCGATCAAGGTGAGGCCGTTGGTAAAGTCAACGTCGAAGACACAAAGATCGGTAATGATACGGCTGACGCAGGCGGGGCCGGTCAGAGGGAACTCGCACTGCTTGACAATCTTGGGGTTGCCCTTCTTATCGGTGTGTTCCATGGTGACAACGACCTTGGTAGCAGAGGGGTTAGACACAAGGTCCATAGCACCGCCGAAGCCCTTGATCTTTCCGGGAAGCATCCCTACAGAATATAGTTAGTTTAAATGAAAGCCACGAATCAGGGTACAAGATCACATACAGTTGGCAAGATCACCCTTGGCGCTGACCTGCATGGCACCCAGGATGGTCAAATCGATACGGCCGGAACGGATCATGCCGAAGGACTCATCACTACCGAAGCAGGAAGCACCTGGGTTCAGAGTGACAGTCTCTTTGCCGGCGTTGATCAGATCCGGGTCCTCCTCACCCTTCTTGGGGTAGGGGCCGAGGCCGAGAATACCGTTCTCGGACTGGAGAGTGACCTCAACAGAAGGGTCGACGAAGTTTGGGGCCAGCATGGGCATACCGATGCCCAGGTTGGCATACATCCCGTTCTTGAACTCCTTGGCAGCACGACGAACAATACGCTCACGCTTGTTGGCGGTGTCGCCCTTACCCAACGCAGAGGTATCGGCGCCCTCTTCTGGGGCGAAAGTGTACTTCTCAATCTTCTTCTCGGTGGTGCTCTGGATCACACGTTTGACGTAGATACCAGGAAGATGGATAGCAGCAGGCTCAATCTCACCAGGCTCCACGATGTGTTCAGCCTCAACAATGGTCATCTTAGCGTTGCGACCCATTGCGCCGTTGAAGTTGGCGCCCGCATAGCGAAACTGGCAGTTGCCAAGCTTGTCGGCCTTCCAAGCCTTCACGAAGGCGTAGTCTCCCTTGATAGCCTCTTCCATGACATAGCTCTTTCCATCGAAGACCTTGGTATCGCGAGGCTGGCTATAAAGAGCGACAGTTCCGTCGCTGTTGTGTCGCAGGGGCAAGTCGCCCGTTTGCACAACGGTACCAAACGCCGCAGGAGTGTAGAATGCAGGTACACCAGCACCGCCAGAACGGCAACGCTCAGCCAATGTACCTTGAGGGGTCAGCTCCAATTCGATCTCGCCAGTTAGGTACATGCGCTCAAAGGTCTTGTTCTCGCCGACGTAGCTAGCAATCATTTTCTTGATCTGCTTGGACTGGAGAAGAAGGCCCAGTCCAGAACCGTCCACGCCCGCGTTATTGCTGACGACAGTCAGGCCGGAGATTGAGGAGTTGGCCCGAACCGCATTGATGAGGGTATCGGGGACACCGCATAGACCGAATCCACCGGCGAGAACAGTGGAGTTTGACTTGATGTCCTTGGTAGCATCTTCGGCGGACGAGAACACCTTGTTGATAGCAGCACGCTGAATACTGCTAGAGAAGTTTCGTGCCAGGAAGCGCTGGTGCTATAGAGCAATGCCGTGTCAGTATTAAGCAGAATCAGATATGCGGAGAGCTCGTCAATGTTACCTTAGCAGGATCCGCGGAAAACTGCCGCGCGAAGCGGAGGCATGTGGCCACTTGTGAAGGCATGATTGTGCAAAGGTAAGGAAAGGGAGGAAATGCCGCGGGAGCAGAAAAGACAAGGAGCAGCAGGAATCGAGAGAGGCGGCAGTGAGCCAGTCTTATACATCCGCGGCGGCACTCGACCGGCGGAACAATCCCGGATACAGTCACTCCCGACGCTCCCCGCATCCCCCCCACACCGGCCGCCCGCAGTCCACAGCGCTTCATATAGAAGGAAGGTTCAAGAGATATGGGCAATAAATCATTAATATAAATAATCTACTCTTCGTATATAAATTCCAAACAATAATTGCGAACATTATTAGCAATTTCACCTTGTATAAAAAGGATACGCCGAAAACAGCCGAAGTAACAACCGACGGACATCCGAGAGGCGGGTGGCGGGTAGCTCTTTCCGATCTGGGGGATGTGCAGTCATGTGATCCGCAGTATACTGTCGGGACCCATGGTACCAGATCTGGTAATATCAAGTTATCCCATAGACATGCGTGAAGAACATACACCGCAAAAAAGAGAATATCCACGTGGAACAATCAAAGAGCTTCACTCCAGCCCTGGATGGCTCTGAGTAGCTCGAAGTTCCACTTCAATTTGTCGTATGTGAAGCTTTTAGGGGAAATTTCCTCAATCTTATTTGTTACTCACCTAGTTTGATTCAATGTGCTCCAGGGCTGGAGTGTGCTAGAACTACTACAAATTGTGAACGGAGCCCTGGAGATCCCTATATAACCTGAAGTCATTCCCCTCGAACCTTGGAAGTTTCTCTTCTCTTCTTCATCCTCTCTTCACCATTCACACCTAGTATCTAACTTTTGTTCAACAACTTGAACAACCCAAGAAGTATTTGTCCATCATTACCCCCTCTCAATCACCATCCCCTCTTGACATCCCCACTGTATCCTCGTATCTCTAAAAAATCATTTCAATAGTACACTCTTAAAAATGGCCCAATCAGATAATCCTTTGGCTCCCCGAGTAGACGGATGGGTAGAAAAGACTATCAAAAATTTTCAAGCTGGCCAAACCACGTTTTCTGACCGAGAGATTTTTGAAGTCGACCAATACTGCTACAAGCTCTCTGAAAATTTTCAGATACCTGAGCCTGTGTACCAGGCATTTGTTAGGGATAGGGCATACCCTTATGCCACCGATGCTACTAAGCAGTCCCTTCCAGAAGAACTTCTCAAGGAAAGATCAGACCCGGACGTGGTGAAGAGGCAGTTGAAGACACTGATTGACGATGGGGCCTTGGAGAAATTGAGAATCGCTGTCAATGTCAACCAGAAGAAAATGCACGAGCCTCGATATGCCGATGCCCTCCCAAAGGTTGCTAGTCAGGATTGGGGAATGTTGCGCGGTGGTAATCGAATGCTGCCATCATTCAAAAGCATCCCCTCTACTGGCGAATGCAACAAATTTGGGCAAGCAAAACCTGCGAAGCTTCTTCCTTCCAAACTGAATCGCACCACGACACTGACCCCAGCCGGCATCAGGAGAATTATGGTCGACGGGTTGACCGATTTGACGAGAACCCACGACGAGGTCTTCTACGCTGCTGGTGCTCATAAAGGATGCCTCAAGCCAGCTTATATCTGGACTGCGCTGGAAAAGGACAACATGGGAAAGATGTACCTTTCTGATGCAGTTCTAGATAAGCATTGCCCACTCTGGAGAATCATTCTCGCCTACGGGGGGAATCTCAAGGCATTTGATGACGGCAGCCCCTCAGTCTACATCCCGACCAGCCAAAACCCAAGCCCAATGATCAAATCGGAAGATACAGCCCTAAAAGGCGAAGGGGGTGAAGAGCCCCTAGAGCTGACTGCCCTTGTTCAGAAAATGTTCCTGGAATTCAAGGAGAAGGAGGCCAGAGACAAGGACAGGGAAATGAAAGAGCCCACATTCTCCACAACCGAAGTGTCTTCTGAGCTGTCCACTAAAGACAGAGAGTCCGCAGATACCAATGAAACTTCCGCTGATCAGAGCTGCGAAGAGGAAAATAGCGATGAAGCGACGAACTCAAATCTCCAATCGAGAGCTCATTTCCCAACCAACGAACAAAATGGAGATGATGCAAATCTTGATGCAGATCTCGGTGCAGCTGAAGAGGCCCGAGACACTGGTATGGACAATGGCTCGTCTATCCCTCTTTCAAGTGATGAACGAGCCGCAAATACCGCAGATAGTGGAAATACTCCTCTTTCTCAGACTCAAGATGTCGAACTGGTGGAGAACAGTGCACCAGAAGAGATGACTCCGAATACTGCCCCGAATACTGATCTGGCAGTGAAAACCAGCCCAAACAAGCGGTCTAATGAAGGCTCGCCTCAGCCTCCGAGAAAAAGGACCTGTGGATCTGGCAGAGATAAAAGGGCAAAGAACTCTACCAACGAGCAACAGAGCTGAGGCAGGAAGGCCGTGATGGAAACATCCCGATACGCCCCCGTCCACGGAGTCTAATTTTGCTATCTCTTACCTTGTGGACTCCGCCATGTCTTTGAAGTTCTTTTCTTTCTCAGACTTGCTATCAATATTGCTCTTAGCTCTTAGCTTTTATTTTAACGTCTACTCAGAGATTGCTCTAATTGAATAAATTTGCTAATCCATTCTTCGAAATATCTCTCCTCTTTCCTTGGTGCCCATGTGTTTCAAACCGAATTCTTTCAATATTTACTTGATCGTGAATATCAACTATGATTCGCCCACCTGGACACCACCTGCGTAGAGATAACTCATTGGTGATACCAAGGAAACTGATCAAGACTACAGCTGCCAGCTTTTTGGTCTGCCTCAGGTGTGTTTACATAATCCGAGAAACTGGAATAATCTGAAAGTTCTTCGTTCATGGTATCTTTCATTATGTACACAGGCATACATGTATTCTTGACGTTAATGCTTGACATGAAGGATTGGACATCGTACGGTCATATAAGAAATAGAGAGTTGGTAGTTATGCGAACATGTTATCCTTCGCATGCCTTGATAAACATTGAAAGTGAATTGAGCGCTCCAAAATGTACTCGGATGGTGTCATATCTACCAATATCCATCCACATTGCGTCGATAACGGCCACGATGATCATAGTAGTCATGGACGACCCACGTCAAAGATTCCTAATCGGTCGACTGGTCCATAGGCACGTCTTCTTGGGGAGAGGCCTTTGTGGGTTGAACAGCGCCTGCGAGGTTGGCGTCGCTACTCTGCACATCGGGCATCGGCTCAGCGAGGTCACGGCAAACCGGATCGACTAAACGATCTCTCATTCTGTCGTTGATATAGACAAGGAAGTACGGGGTGGGCGGGTTGGCGGGATCGTTATTCTTGAATATCTCATCCAGGTTCTGGACCTCGGTCACATACTCGTCGTTATACTTGCGCCAAATGTCACGGTTGAAATCGTAGATATAGATCCAGTAGTGACCGAAAGAAACAGACCCACGGTGCACAAAAACTGCGTATAACCGGTAAGGAAGGTTCTTATATTCGGCAAATTGATTCGAGATCTGTGTCTGTATGGTCTCAATCTCGGTGTTGAGGACTGATGGACGATTAGCAAGTGGTAGGCACCAGGAGGTTTCGACGTCTATGCTTACCTTGAAGCTCGGCCTCTGCGGCTTGAGCGAGCTGGTCAATCTCATTGCTAAGTGACTCGTTGGTGTCAAAATTTCCTTCTTCCTCCCACGGCAGCTCTCGAAGTACATCTCTAGTGCCCCGAAGCAGCTGCGCCAGATCTTGGCCATCGTTTTCCTAATTATTGGTTAGCTCATCGATGACCGCTATATAAAAGTGTTTCGGGGGGCAATACCTGTTTCCTCATGAGCTCTAGCTTGCGTTCCTCACACCTTTTGAGAGCTTTCTTGAGTTCCCAGCCTTGGCGGCGTTTGTTTACAATCTCTGGCTTCTGGGTATCCATGTATCGATCCATGTAGATAGTCTCTATAAGCCCGAGATGATTTGTCGATTTGAAAGAGCTCTTCTTGACCGGGTCGAACTGGACGCGCTGGACTTGAATTTGCAGAATGGGAGGAAGTCGGGTGATCGAGCCAAATTGTTCAGCCACGGAGTTCTCAACGCTGATGTTTTGAGCATCAAAAGCGCCGTCGAGGGCGGAGTAGATATCTCGCGAACCATGCGCCACATCGACCTTGATATCGCACCATCTTTCCTCTTTAGATCGGGTACCAGCTTGAGTAGAAATGTAGGATCGACTTTCACCGTAGAACAAGCTAACATTTTATTAGTATCCAGGCCTGGGGAATACGAGGGTCGGAGAGAACGCACTCTTTGATTTGGTCCACCTGCTCACCGTCACTGGCCACGCTTCGCGGTTTGATAGCGCACTGACTTTGGAAGAGAACATTGTTGATCACTTCCGTAACATCCTGCTGCGCACCGATTTCTACCTCTTCGAGCAACTGTCTCTGACGATCGACTTCGACGACAGGCCTTGGGGGAACGGGTGGTGGTCGGCTGGGATGTTCGGGCGTGGACGAAGCAGGGTCACCGGCCTCAATCTTCACATAACCCTCGGCTTCAGAAAGTACCTTTTCGGATTGGGTTTGCTCATTTTCTTCGACAGCAGAATGCGAAGGTGGTGCAGGGTCGTTGTTCTCGGATACCAACGTTGCTTCACTGTCCGCATCACTCCCACCTGTTGTAGGCCCCTGCTGGTCAGAACCTAAGCTCACGAGCTGCTCGTTCTTCATCTCGACGATGGGCTGAGGAGGCCCAAGTGGCCCCAGAATAGGTGCCCCGGCAATTTCCCCCAGTGTTTGGGGTTTGGATATTGTTGACCTTCGACGAATTGCTTCCTCGTTGCCAGGGCTGATCAGAGTCAGCCTAGCAAGTTCGCGAGTAGGAGCCACGCAAGACTGTGACGAGGTGGTCATATTCTGGAATAATGTTCGAAGCTCCCCGAGGACTGTAACTTAAATTAGCTTCATGTCGAGACTGCTAGACATCGCCGTGAGAAACATACATGTGAGCGATCGTTGGACTTCTTTTCCGGTCACCTTACGCGAGCCAACCTTCTTCTTTGCCAATCCTGCGACGTCGTTCAAATCCATTTGGTATTTTTCGATGTCAAGGACCATGTCTCGGAAGGGGCGAACAGAGAAATAAAACTGAAGGAGGCTGTTGAGGTAGCAGGTGTTGCCGATATTCTGCAAGCCAACGGGCCATTCTGCCAGGTTCTGATTGACATCAGAGGAGATACCAGCCATGCCTTTGAGCAATTGGCTATCCATCTCTTTAGCGATTACACTCAATGCACGGTTGTAAAGTTCGGCTTGGTCGGGACTGTCATCGATGCAGATTGTATAGGCCGCCATGACCGCCTCTTCATCTGCAGTTCTGTCTGGGATTTGGAGTAAGCGGTACGCATCTCCAATGTCCATTTCACCTGAAACGGTTTCGCCTGTATTAAGAAAATGGTTCAACCCGATTGATTTGCGAGATTCCGCAATAAGCTTGACAGCCCGGTCGGCCGTATCCTTACATGACGGGCTGTCACCGATCTACAGAAAACGATCCACTCTTAGTATCCTCGCAATATAGTCCTGTTTGAGGTTCATACCTTTGCCGTATACATTGTGATAATAAAATCATCAGGGGTTTTATCATCAACTCCAAGGAAGACTTGGGCTTGCTCGACAGTGGAAACGCCTGCTCATTATGATCAGCAATCTTTTGATATCCAATAACGATCAGGACCCCCCGGGACTAAAAGACTTACGATCCTCTGAAGCAGCTTTGATGCGTTCGCTGCCTCTGCTATTCCCGATCCGCCACAGCTGCTGTCGTGCTTCGGTTTCATGAGCAGTCGAGCTCAGAAAGGCGTAAAACTTCCCTATGATGGTGTCTTCCGTGATGTTTGGATCATCATGCCAGAGCCCAAAATATTTATATGCTTCGATTACGTCGTCGTTTGTGTATTTGCCTTCCGCATAGGCCACCTGCGCTGCATGGTCGATGATCTCCCAGTCCTGGCCACGCCGTAAAGTGCCAATAGCCTTGAGCGATTCCAAATACAGTGATGATCGGGCCGGATCTACAGAGATTTGACGGTTGTAGGCTTCCACGATCAACGAAGCATCCATATCTTCGACGGCCCCAAGATCCTCGTAAAACCTTTGGAGAAAAAGCTTGTCAGTTATGCTCACACTTATGATTGTGTGGGGACGACGAACGGGGCAGGTGGCATGTCGAAAGTGCTTGCTTGGAGAGATTTCGGGTCTGGTTGATCAGTCAGCCGTAGGCTTCTCGACTCATAAAAGAGAGTACAAACAGTCTGCTGCCTCTAAAGCATGGAGGATATCGTTTGAGGATGACGGGGGGAGTTGGATTTGCACAGCTCGTTTCTCCGAGTTAGGTCGATTATGTATCAGGGCTTGCAGTTCAAGTATAGCGTCGTCAAGGAAGATGGAGAGGTCGTTTTGGTAAGGCTTCATCGGTTCTTGCTCCGGCTTCGGAGGCTGCCATGCGCCATTTTCCTAGATACGGTTTTAGCAGATGGGCATCTTTTGGGACCACGAGATAATAATCATACGAGGTAGGTGAAGCCCAAAAACTCCAACACTTCCCTGCAGGGAGCACCCTTAAGGCCATAGGCGAGGATGAACCGCTTGTTAATAGCAGATATGTCCTTGTTAAGCTCTTTGTTATGTAGGGAGTTATTGAGATAGATGCGAAGATTATCTAACACGGTTATTGGCAGAGGACCAGTCATTCCCTCGAGGCGGTCCGGGTTCGCTGCGATCGCCTCGTCAGCTCGTTGGCGAATCACATCGACATTTGTCAGCATTTGAACAAATTTCGGGTTTAATAGTGGTGATAGTATTCGGAGTGACACCATAGCTGAGCACGAGAGGTGGGAGCATTGAAAGTGGTATGTCTCGGCCACTTGCCCGGTGCTGGTCACCTCCTCAACCGACGTGCTACCTCTCTGTCTCCCGGATTTATAGACCAAGTGATGGATGTGATCTCCTTTCTGGGATCGTGTGAATGAGCTTCCAGCGTTGTTGTGGTTGACTACCAGCTGCAGATGGTAACGGCATTTGGAGCACATGGCGGAAACCTTCGAGGACGTCCCAGGTCTGTGTTGCTGGTCCGTCCACGCCAGGAAAGTTTGGTTCGATTTGGACACATAGTCATGTTTGCATGCGTCAGGCGAGATGAATGCGTAGCGTTTGTCTGTTTTATCGGAATAGACGGGGGGGTGTCTCTGAAAGTAAGTTGAGACCGGTGTCGGGAGGGTGCTCTGGATCGTATAACTGGATGTCCTCAGCGAGCCGGGGGGGCCAGTTTGCCTATATGGGGGGGTAGAAACTACATGTTAGCATTCGTAACATTTATCCATCATTGTAGTAGGTGTCAGATTGTGCTTCCTACTTACCTGCCCTCTGTGGGTATGTCATGATGGAGGCAGTTGTATGATCCCGGCGTGTGCCGATGCAAACCTCTTTGGCTCAGATTTATGCAAGACCGTGGACCCAGTGAGTCAGATTCCCCATAAGAATCTTTAAAAAAGCTGCACATCCACGGCGCGCACCGGTGATGGGATGGAAACTCGTTGGTGGAGAGACAGCGGGGAGCCCACCGCACTGGGCATCAGTGGGCGCCAAGCTGTTGAAGATGCTCGGCGGAAGCTGCAATGGTGGCCTGGGGACCGTGTGAAGTGGGACTGAGATAACTTGAGTCCCTTTGGTACAAAATCCAGAAGACAAATTGTCAGAAATATATTAATCGAATGTGTTTCTGGTTTCTTTGATGTTGCTGAGTGTTGTGAACGCCCCAAGCTTCAATGGCGGTGGAGTAGGCGGTCAGCACCGCAAACCTGCCACTGAACTTGGGAACTTCGAGCACCATTTTACGATTCCGTCTCTCCCGCAGCCCATCCCTCCCACCCCAACAGACACCATGGCGCACCACGCTGAGGATGACAGCTATCACCCAAAGGATGCGATCTCGACCGCAATCAAGGCTCTGACCATCACCGGTGGTATCGGCTTTATTGGAGCCGCTGCCCAGGTCACTATGCATAAGCAGAACATGAGCCCTCTCGCCGTCTTTACTCGATTTGGAGGCACCATTACCATGCTCGGTACGAGATATATCGAATAATCAATCGCCATTTTCGACCTCAGCACTGACTCTCCAATGTCTCTAGGTGGAATGGGTGGCACATACGCCTTCGTGAGGGCTGCATCGGCCAACTTGCGCGAGAAGGATGACCCTTGGAACACCGCGGTGGCTGGCTTCTCTGCCGGTGCTCTGCTGGGCCTGCGAGGTGAGCATTCTTCCATGATTGGAGAAATCTTTAATTGTTTTCCAACGCGAATGATTATACTAATCTCGGTCCTCCTCAGCCCGCACTTTCCCCGCTGTTCTCGGCTACGGTGCTGCCACTGCCACTCTGATGGCCGCCTTCGACTACACCGAAGGATTTTACGGATACTCGAAGAATAAGGATGAGGATGAATTTGAGCGCCGCCAGAAGCTGCGCAAGGCTTACCAGACTCCCGCTGAGCAGACTTTCGCGGAGCTGGGTGAGGGACGTGGTGCGTCAATTTCCCCATGGGTTCTCAGACACTACTCCAGATTGAACGGATCGGCTAACCCCATGATTTTTCCAGGCATTTACGGCCCCAACTACGAGGAGCGCCGCCGGGAGCGGATCAAGGAGGCATATGGTATTGAGGTTCCCACATCCCCAGTTCCTGCATCATAAAATATTCCCCCTTTCCCTTGATGCCGTGATCTTGCCACTGTCTTTCCGAATTGCGTTGTGTAAATTATCCCCTTCTACATCATGTTCTCCAGCATGCCGGACACGTCCAATCCGATCGAGTTTCTTCTGTTTGAATTGATATCCAATTATTGTGACGTAGATTGGGAGACCGGTGCGCCAGTATGTCCCGGCGTAAAATGATCGATTACAGACCACTCGTCAATCATGCGTAGCGCAAAGATGAGGGGAATATAATTATGCAGCGGGAAATCAACTTAATTGGAAGCGCAACGATCAATTGGAGAGCCTAGTGCTCCTTCAAGTTGATCTAGAGTGCAGTTGGCACCTGTCGGTGGAGTGCGGAGGGGTTCTTTCCCGACGGCCAATGACGGGCCGGCTATATCCAACATCACTCTTACCACCACTTCCATCGTTCTAGCAAGACCCTTCGTTCTACTGGCCACTCATCAGTGCAACTCGTGCTGCGAGTCCCACGATGATTCAGCCCTATGGTGAAGTTGGCACTGTGGTACGTCTTTGCCGCCACAGTGCATACTAGCTGGGATACCTCAGTCATCGATCATGTCATTGCCAAGGACCATCGCTGAAATGCAACTCAACAAGACCACGGATTCCCGAATGAAGATCTCCCTTCCCCCGATATCACATTCTGCCTCGAAATCCAGAAGTGGTCACCATGGAACTGGTTCACGATGAGGAGCCATGACCCTGGCCGAGCTTTATCGGAGAACAATTCCAAATCCCACGGGCCTCTAGGATGGCTCAAAGCGGGCAAACCCCCACAGCATTGGAGCATCGTCAGATGTTCTTCCAAGGTTTCCATGCTTCTTCGGAAGCCTCGGGGACGGGTATCCACGTTCTGTGCCCTGTAAGGGGGATGGGAGAGGGGCAGGTCAATCTTCCGTATAGATTTGCATGAGCTTCGATATCGATCGGATCCCGACGTCATCAATCCATCAGCGATCAGGGGTGATTTGTTCTGTGCTGAGCCACAGATCGCGTGGATCAAACTCATTTCCCAAGTGCTAGTGCCAGGGCCGAACTCGTTTACGGATCTAATTATGTTAAGTAAGTTTAGAGGGGGGGGGCGGAGCCACTGTCGTCAGCCACGCCTTGGAGCAGGCAGCCAGATAGTCGGGTATACAAAAAGGGGGGGGGAGGTTTGAAATAGGAGAGGAAAAAAGGAGATGCCCAAAAAGGGATCATATGAGAAGTCATCCACGACTACCACGTCTACCACAATATCTCGCCGGCGCTCAATTCCGAGAGAGTGCAGTACGTCAACCACATCCAGGATCTCAAAGATTTAACTTCATATTCCCCCTCTTTCGAGCCGGCACTCCCGTGAAGTGGTGTACAACGGGCTTTAGGCGTCATCACTCTCTTTCTCTTTACCCCCGATCGAAGTCTTTTGCCCCCCCCTTTTCCCCTCGTAGACGTCATCCATCATTTTCATTATTATTACCTTAAGGTATTACATATCTGCACCCCGCCACCTTGAAGTCCAAAGGAGCTCAATTTCCTGTAGGATAGGATTAAGATTTCTCTTCATCTTGTCCTCCCCCTCGATCTATCGATAGTCTACAGTGTGGAGCATTGCGAATTGATGATCTTGCTTTCTTCAACCCTGTTCGACGAATTTAACCCCCCGCAAACCCGGCCAGACCCTCCGTTCGCCTGGTAACCAAAAACCGCGCCATCCCATCCTAGGCCGTTCTAGTACTACTCCTTATCCTGACGCCTTTGCTTTCCTTTCTTCCTTTCTTTTTCCCTTCTTTTTCTTTTTGGTGAACTTGGAAAACCTTCCTCTTCTCATTCTCTCCTATCACCTCCACATAACCACGTTCCTGAACCTCTCTACCTCTCTCCGCTTCCGCTTTTATCACCATGGCGATGGCCGCGCGGCCACAGACGCCCGTGCAGGATGCATACTCGATCCCGCAACCCAGTGACCCCGGCCTTTTGAGTCGCGGCTACGGCACCCTTCGTTCCTCCTCCCGACCCAGTTCCTATGCCGGTACCGGTTCGGCCTTTCACTACGGCCCTCTCGACCAGACGATAACGCATAACCCCCGTTTCAGGGAGGAGTTCGACGCCGCCAGTCACCGCAGCTCGGTCGTGCTCGACGGCCCCGCCTCCACCCTTCAGCGCTCGGCGTCGCAAATGTCCCACGCTCGATCGCCGACCCCATCCCGTTCGGGAACTCTGCGCAAAAAGGCTTCCTTGAGCAAGAAGGGGAGTTTGCGGCGCAACGGAAGTCGGCGATCATTGCGTGCGGGGAGTGTCAAAAGTCTCAGTTTGGGCGACCGCGAGAAATATAATGCCGATGGCTCAGAAGATGTTAACAGCGCGTTCTTGGTTCCCATACCGACCACAGGAAACCCGACGGAGGTGCTTGCGAACCGCTTTCAAGGTATGACCCATGGCAGTGCCCACCCACGCTTGCGATCGGCGCTAACTATTAGGATCGCGCAGCTTGGCGGAAGATCCTCAAGGACCTGATCGTCTTCTTCAAGGAAGTGCAGAAATCCTACGAAACTCGCTCCAAGTTATTCCTATCTGCCTCTCATGTGATGAACAACCAGTCGCTCCCCCCGTCATTCCTACAGTCGGGTGGTCTCGCCGATGCTACCGAGGTTCTACAAAACTTCCATCGCCAGGGATATACTGAGGCCAACAAGGCCGTCGAGGTGGAAATCGAAGTGATCAGTCAACTGACGGGCCTCCGAAGCGACCTCCAGAAAAAGACCAAGGAGATCAAGAGCCTTTCAGGGGATTTTAAGAACACGGTCGAGAAGGAGATTGATGGTACGCGCAAGGCCGTGCGTCATTTGCATGAATCCCTGGGACTAGTAGACACCGATCCCTCTGCTACCTCCGGCAAAGGTGACCCATTCTTGATGCGCCTGAATGTCGAAAAGCAAGTAGAGAAACAGATTGAAGAGGAAAATTACCTTCATCGGGTTCGTGGTCTTGATTCGTCCAAATATATCGCTAGCCGAACTAATCATATCTATAGGCATTTCTGAATCTAGAAAGTTCCGGGCGTGAACTCGAATCGATTGTTGTTAGCGAGATCCAAAAGGCCTACAACGCGTACGCCAGCATCCTCAAGCGCGAGGCTGATGAGGCGTATGACACGGTGGATAAACTGCGGGCCGGCCCGATTTCAATGCCCCAGGATCACGAGTGGAACGCATTTGTCGCCAACACCGATGAGCTGGTCGACCCGCGAATTCCGCTGCGAAACGTGGAGAGTATCACTTACTCTGGTAAGGATCACCCGGCTGCTGCCGAGGTTCGAGCTGGCATGCTGGAGCGCAAGAGCAAATATCTCAAGAGCTATACCCCGGGCTGGTAAGATCCCCCATCACTACAAAGATTGCGGCGATTCATGGCTAACTTTCATCAAGGTATGTTCTATCGCCGACTCATCTTCACGAATTCAAGTCCGCGGACCGTGTCGCCTGGCAGACTCCAGTCATGTCACTGTATCTGCCCGAGCAGAAGCTGGGATCACACTCCCAGGAAGACTCCAGCTCTCACAAGTTTATGCTCAAGGGTCGTCAAACTGGTGCCATGCATCGTGGTCACTCATGGGTATTCCGTGCTGAATCCCACGAGACTATGATGTCCTGGTTCGAAGATATCGAGAGCTTGATCAACAAGACTGGCGAAGCACGCGATGCCTTTGTTCGAAAGGCCTCTATCCGTCAACGACACGTGCGTAGCATCAGCGGAATGTCTACCAACAGCGAGGTGATGGAGGATGATGAAGCCGACCGCACTCCGTATTCAGCGGAGTCGGTGGTTCTGGCCAACGGTCAGGAGCGGCCCATGTCCGCCACCCGCCAGCCCGGTGGGGCATTCCCGAGTGATGTTCAAATTGATCGGCATCTCCAGGCGCCTCTTTCCCCATCGAGCGGTGATAGTTCGGCTGGGCGTGAGATGATCGCCGCAGCAGGGGCCATTCCGGACGGTACTACCGCGGGTCCTTCGCGATACTACACGGGCTACGATGCTAGTAATGGATCCCAGCGGGGGACAAACGAAAGCCCCGCATCTCGGTCCCGCATGAGCCGTCATGACAGTTACTACGGCGATTGGATTGGACCTACTACTGTTGTTGGCCAACAGAAGAAGAGTCAGCTGTCGGAGGCGGCCCATGCAGATGATCGAGAGATTCGGTCGGATGGAGACCATAACTCCATTGTCGCCATGTCTGGCGTGGTTGGAGCGCCAGACCGCCGTGACCACTCGGCTCCGGCACAGGTGGCTCGTCGCGAGAGTGTCTCCACGGCGCCTACAAACACCAATGTCACCGACTACACAAATAATACCCTCGCGACTTCAGTCGATGATACGCAAGAATCGAAGACCGCCGGGATTGTGGCCGTTGACTCGGCCCCCTTCAGCGGTTTCGAAGATGGGTATGCTGACAGGAGTGTCATGAACGGCGCCGGGGGCACCGCGAAGACTGGGCCTTACTTGTCGCGTCCGAAGCAGGATAGTGTGGTGGCGATTGACATGAAGATTCCTGGTCGCTACCCACCAACCAATGTGGCCGCATGATCTTTGTTAACTATGTCACCTATATTTTCTGTCATTCCCCCCTGCCGCATTTTTTTCTTATTTCTTTCAAGTTCTCACTATCACTGTTTTCTTTTTTCTTGGTCTTTCCAAAGGTTGCTTCTTGCTTCCAACATTATCCTCCCCCCCACTTTGACTATGACCACATCCGCTGTACAGCTTACCACTCTCCCACCCTCCTCTACAATACGACCTAGATCACTTTGAGGCGTTTGGGTCTTTTTGTCCTGGGTTCGAGGCGCAACTGGGTCCTTGACTTGAATTTTGATTCCCCGGGTGTTGAGCATCCGCGCCCTCGTTTCTTAACTTCCCACCAATTTCTGTTATTTTTTTTGGGATTTTTGCTGTTCAGTTTTTGGTTTCAAGCGAAGATTTCTATGTACTCCATGGAGTGAGCAATGAATACGAGTTCGGTCCAGCCAGCATTTATTTTCATATAGGATAACCTCAAGGTTAAAGATAAGCACATACTTCAGCGAACGTTGAGGAGGTAAGGTATTGATTATCCACATGCCACATGGTGGGATCAGATCATTTCGGGAGCCGTGGGGCATGCGGATCCCGTTGTGGTGTCGGTCTAGATCCACCATGGCACCATCTAGACCGGTAGGGTATCACAACCACTTATCCTAGAGTGTCCTAAGCGGAGCTTATCGGGGAGTTGAACGAAGTACCTATGCAAGCCCAGCTTGGCCGTGGCATTTTGGTGCAAGCAGAAATTGAATACGAGCAGCCAGTCAGGCGTGCAGAAGGCTGTGACACCACAGAATCCTTTGATTACGAAGTGGGCGAGTATGGTAATTTCGAGCAGACAAAGCGACAAAGGGTCTCTATGACCTAGGTATGAAAGGGAAATGGAGGGTTTGATCGATGAACTTGGGGCTATATGTACATGATAGGTGGTCCTTTGGCCGTTTGGTTCTGATATAGTTTCTCATAGTCCGTCAATTCCATCAAGTTTCCTATAGTTCCTACGCAAAGATCGATCTACTCAACTGTCTACATCTACATCTACATCTACATACAAAGTACTTCAATCTAAATCAGGTACATACCTACTTCATCCTCTACGTCTAGTACAGCCCCGCAGAAGAGGGCGGTGGGGGAGCGATTCCGACAGATCAACCTCATGAGTATCAAACCGAAAGGGTGAAAGCCAAACCCTTACACCTTCAACCCGTTCCTGTTCCTCTCTTCTCCTCTTTCCTCCAACTTCTCCTCCTCCCACTACCGCCACGCATCTTCAGCTTGACCATCTTACATACACCATGGGTAGGTTTCCTGATTTCATTCCCTTTCCTAACCCCCTTCCCAAGTCACCGTCCCGTTTCCCAAGGTTTCCCCTCTTTCTCTTCCCATGCTCTCCCGTATTACATACTCTTGTTATACGTGACCAAGCCTTGCTCTCCTCTTCTCCCTCTCCTCTCTCAGCATTCCAGTCCTCCATCCAATCATCTTCCCCCTTCCCCCCCTCCCATTTGAATCTCCTGAGTCCTTTTCTCATTCCTTCCCCCCGCTTCCCGCTCCCTCTTCTTCCTCTCCACCATCCCCCCTTTCTTATATTCCTACATTCTATCCTTTCTTTAGCTAACCCAACTTTACCCTCACGTCTAGCCGACGTATATCGACCATATCAGGTATGTTTTCTCCTACTTTCTTTCCTTTCCTTGCATCTACCATCCTCCTTTCAATGTCCCCTATTTCCTGTTTGGTTCAATCTTCCATTCCTCTCGAGCAAATGGGAACATGCGATCGATGCGACTTCGGACGCGGCGCGGCGCCTGGTCTCGACTATCGCAAGATGGTCAGTGCGGGGAGGAGCCACCTCCAACAGGTGCCGCTGCAAACCAGCTTTGCCCAGCTTGCTTGGGAGTATATGTTTGTCCCTCCCAAAATCATGGGAAATCTCGCAACTCAATTTTTTGGGGAAATTTTGCAATAAAAAACACATAGCCATCTGTGTGTGTGTGCGCCAATTTCCCAGCAAGCTGCGCCCCCCCCTGTTTCCCCGGGGGTCCTCGAGCTTTGTTTGTCTCAGCTGGTGCAGATCACCTGACCTGGATCTCTCCGATCTCCCCGACCCGCCGTTTCTTGCTGAGACAACCCCGTTCCCACCTCACCTCCAATCTTCCATCGATCATTCCCCCCTCCCCCCTCCCTCCATTTCTCCGATTTCTTTTTCTTAATTCCAAAGTCGCGTTATCTCGCGCATCAAACCCACAATGTCCGATTACCCCGACTCTGACCGTATGATGCAGCGTGAGAGGTCTCGTTCTCCCCGTCGCCGTTCTTCCCGCAGTCCCAGACGAAGCCGTCGCTCGTACTCCCCGCGCAGCCGCTCTCGCAGCCGTGTTGATCGTGGTGACCGTGGTGACCGAGGTGATCGTGACGACTATCGCCGCAACGACCGCCGTTCGCGATCGCCTTTGAGTGCTTCTGGTGCTGCTGGACAGTCTGGCTCGCCTTACGGTGGACGCAGTGGTTACGCGCCGAAACCTTTCGAAAATCGCTCCCACAACAAAGACAATATGATGCAATCCGTTCGCGACTCCTCCCAGCAAGACCGCCGTGTCTATGTGGGCAATCTTTCCTATGATGTGAAATGGCATCATCTCAAAGACTTTATGAGACAGGGTGAGCAAGGATCGAATACATGGTTGAAGAAAGGATGTGCATGGCTGACCGTTGGCTTTTTTCGCGCAATAGCTGGAGAAGTTCTCTTTGCCGATGTGTTACTGCTTCCAAATGGAATGTCGAAGGTGGGCGCCAATACGTAGAGCGGCTGGTTCCTTTCTACTCCCTGATTCTTTTCGTGGTTTTTTTTTTTTTGCTTTCTCGTTTGGTTACCTTGCGTGGACTGTTGGGTTGACGGGCTGGGCCTGGCTGTCCGAATTATGTAGGGATGCGGGTATGTTACTATTCAATTCTACCACCAACGAGAATTCACAGCTAATACGCCATAGGATTGTGGAATACGCCACGAGGGAGCAAGCACAAAATGCTGTCAACACTCTCAGCAACCAGAACCTGATGGGTCGTCTCGTCTACGTTCGCGAGGTACGTTATGGGCTATACATTGTGCAGGAGAATCTTTGGCTAACGTTTTCCGAAGGACCGTGAGGCCGAGCCTCGATTCGTCGGTGGTCCGCCCCGTAACGACTTCGGTGGAGGTGGTGGTGGTGGCCGAGGTGGTTTCGGCGGCGGTGGTTTCGGCGGACCCCCTCCTCCCCGCCATTCCGTCTATGTGGCGAACGTTTGTTACTCCCCTATCCCCTATCTACTAAAATCGACACAGGGCTTATTAACGGATTCCTGTAGCTTCCCTTCGAGACTGCCTGGCAAGAAGTTAAGGATCTCTTCCGCGATGCTAGTAAGTCCAAAAACAAACCGATTCGACTCACGCCGAGTCGCTATTTCCTTTCCCTCGATCAATGAGCGCTTGGTAAATTGACTTTATACCTCTTTCTTTAGTCGCACAGGGTGTCACTCCAGGTCGCGATCTCCACGTCGACCTGCACTATGACCATGGACGCTTCAAGGGATCTGGTGTTGTGCACTTCGACAATGAGGGCGATGCGCAGAATGCCATTGCCATGTTCAATGGCCGGGATTGGCACAACCGTGTGCTCGAGGTTCGCCCCGATCGTTTCGCCGGTGTCCCCCGTGGAGGCTTTGGCGGCGGCGGTCGTGGTGGGTTCCCTGGACGCGGTGGGTTCGGCGGTCCTCGCGGTGGCTTTGGCGGTCCCCCTGCCTTCGGTGGTCGTGGTGGCTTCGCTGGCCGCGGCGGCTTTGGCGGTGGGTTCCGTGGTGGCTTCAATGGCCCTCCTGCCTATGGCGGCGGCGGCGGCAACAACTTCCAGGCTGGCCCTGCCACTCCCGGCAACGAGTTCACCGATGGAGTCAGTGGTGGCGGTGACAAGAACTCGGATATCTACGTCAGCAACGTAAGTTCAGTCCTTTCTACTGACGATGGGAACGCACTAACCCGCAACAGCTTCCATGGGTCACTGAGAACGGTGACTTGACCGAGCTCTTCAAGACCATTGCCCAGGTGGAGCATGCTGAGATTCAGTATCTTCCCGATGGTCGCTCCAATGGAACTGGTGTTGTCCGATTCCAAAGCGACGAGATGGCCGAGAAGGCAATTGGTAAGGATGCGGTGCTTTTATCATTGTACAGGAGCCAATTGACTAATGATGCTGCAGACACTTTCACTGGCTACCTTTATGGTCAGCGTCCCCTGGGTATCACCTTCGCCAAGCGCAATGCCCGACCGGGCCCTGAGGCTCAGGGAGATTCCGGGGATGTGATGGGTGGAATGGACCACCAGGCTCCCCAGGACCAGATGATGGAGCCAACAGGCATCACTCAGGACCAGATCATGTAATCTGTGATCCTGGCGCCCACTTCTGATTCTTGTTTCATTTCCTATTTCTCTTTCCTCTCCTATGATTCCCTTATTCCCATCTTTGTTGCACGTTGCACGTCAAAAATATCCCGATCTGCTTTAAAGAATGGATGTCTCTGCTTCTGTACTCAAGCCTAGATAGCGGCACGTGCAGATCCCGATTCAAGTGGACCGCCCTCCCTCCCGTAAATCCGTAGCTTAACCTCCGCTCCGCCTTCACTCCACCTTTTAATTTTAACTTCCTCCCATTGACACCACCACTCCATAACATAACACAATACAGCCACCATGGCCACCATGGCCACCTTACGCCTCCCCACCATCACCCGCAGGGCAGTTTCATCCCTCCAATCCCTCCGCCTGCACCAAACAACCCCCCCTCACAACCTCAACATCCCGCCTCATCCCGCGCATTCAACCACTCCGCCAACAACAACCTCACTTCCGACCCTACCACTCAACCCTCCACCCCCGCCTCCCAGACCACGAATACACAAACAGCCAAACCGCAATCCTAACCGCCGCCCTCGACCACATCCCAACCCACGGCTTCAGCCTCGAAGCCCTCACCCTCGGCGCCCGCGACGCAGGATTCCTCGACGTCTCGGTACAATTGCTCCCACGCGCGGAATTCGACCTCATCCTCTTCTGGCTCGCTTCACGGCGCGGAATTCTCCGCGCAAAGGTTGAAGAAGGTGCGCTTTTTACCCGGGTTGCGGCGGAGAGTGGGCGCGATGTGGCGGCTTTGTCGGTTGAGGAGAAGTCGAAGATTCTGGTATTGGAGCGCTTGCGAATGAATGTTGGGGTTAAGGATCAATGGCAGGACGTATGATTTTCCCTTCCTTTCTACTCTTTTCTTTTTGAGGGTCCGCGCTTTCCTTTGTGCAGAGTCCTTCGAGATGATGGAGATGAAATTCTAACGACTTCAATTACAGGCTCTGGCTCAAATGTCCCTCCTCTCGAATATCCCCATTTCCCTTACTGAACTACACGCTCTCTCGAACGATATCCTTTCCCTGGCTGGTGACTCGTCTGTTGATGGGTCGTGGTATACTAAGCGCATGGCACTGTCTGCCATCTACGCCAGTGCGGAAATTGTCATGACTCGGGACCCGACGCCTGATCTGACTGAGACAGCCGCATTTGTGAACCGCAGGTTCGAGGATAGACTCGTTTTGAAGGAGAAGGTTGAGGGCGTGGGACAATGTGTTTCGTTCTGGGGAAATACGGCCGTTGGTCTGGGGAGGAGCTGGGGATTGAAGATCTAGTGGCCGGCAAATGGGAAGAGCCCTGGTCGATTTATTTCGTCTTTCTTGGAGAAATCTTCGTGTATTTTTATTCTAGGCGTTGTCTTGCTCGAAGTCCTGGGTACTAGCAAGTAAACTTGGAAAGTGTATTCTACTTCTCTTGCCTTTTTTTTGTGAGTAGCGAAATCTAGAATCTTCTCTTCATCATTGTATATACTGAGGTGGGTAAATATTGGTTCTCACTGAAGCTATAACGTAGCTTGAAGAGCGACTGGTATCTATCTTAGTATTAACAACTTGAACTTGAATTAAATTCAACGTTTCCAAGGTTCAAGGTCAAATTAGTAAGGTTTCCCGTCAGGCAACCAGAAGCTACCCTCCGTTGGGACTGAATTAATACCAGTACCTGCAGACACCCTTCATCCCCATGGATTTTGATAGCCTCTGTTTCAACATAGCAACTTTGATTGCTGGGGTCTTTGTGCTTGACTATGGAGCAGACAAATTCCTTGACCACACGGTGATCGTTGGAAAGCAGCTCGGCATCTCGCCAACCCTTATTGCTCTCCTAACAGCAGGAGCCGAGTACGAAGAGGTAATCCCTTCTAGACTCTACATAAACCTATGGTTTCCATTTTAACAAAGTGACACCAGCTAGCTGTAGTTGTCGCAGCAGTTCTGCAACACCGCGGGCCCCTGGCCCTTGGAAACATCATGGGATCGGCTATCTCCAATATCCTCGGCGCATTCTCACTGGGCCTTCTTTGTCATCCTAGCGGCATGGCATTTGATAGTAGCGCCAATATGTATTCCGCGCTCTTGCTTTCTGTCACTACTTTATTCGTGACATTGGCGTTTTTCAACCAGCTGAATCAAGCCACTGGCTGGATGTTCATTGCCGCGTTCACAATATACCTTGTCTCCATCGCTTACGCCATCTATAATGGCATCGCGGAGGCCCCTGAATTATCGGATAGTGATAGCGGCAGTGACAGTGACGATGAAGAAAATCAAGATACTAGGGCGCCAGCTGCAGAGACTTCGCCGCTGTTGAGAAATGTGAATACCCAACAGGAGGGCGAGAACAGAAAACCGCCACGACCGCTCTATCAACATATCATCCAACTTCTCGTTGGCCTTCTTGCGCTCTCTCTATCGGGATATATTCTAGCCCACAGTGCTGGTTCCATTGCGGACTCCCTTCACCTTTCGGGTACTGTCTTCGGCTTGACGGTGATTGCTTTTGCTACGACCTTGCCAGAGAAGCTGCTTTCTGTCCTGGGCGGTCTTCGTGGACAGGGCGGGATTCTCGTTGCAACGACGGCGGGGAGTAATATCTTTCTTCTCACGCTTTGTGTTGGAGTTGTTGGTGTTGCAGGGATTCCTGTTGAGGGGGAAGATAGCTTCGTTCTTTTTGATCTGGTGGTGGTCTGGGCGTCTGCGCTGTGTTTCACGGTGGTTTGTTTTGTTGGTCCGAGTCGGATTGCTGGGCTGATACTTCTGGCTGCATATATTGGATTCTTGGTTCTTGAGTTCACTGTTTACAAACGTTGATATAATTCCTCTTTCCTCTACGGGGATAACTTGAATTCTGGTAGTACTGGCAGTATACTATCTACTGTAACTCTCTTTATACTCATCATTAGTGGCTTTTTTGAACGATGAGAGCCCTGATGTTGAACTGCACCAGGGGTTCCATTGAGGTAGTAGCGGGCAGCACTGATGGTAATATGATGAGAGCTCCTAGTAGTAGATCTCAACGTTACATTATAAAAGATATCTCGAAGGCTGTAAATTCACTCTGAGTCCCTATTCCACGGTTTCCAAAATAACCCTAATGGATCCCAAATACCACCAATTCTCTTCAGTTCTCGGATTCGTTCCTCGGTATGCAGCTCGCTCAGCGGAGTTGTAGGTCCAATATTGTTGAGGGTAGTCCTGGCCGTACCCGACGAGTCATGCTCCCTATAGATCGTCTTTATATCCTCAGCAAAGGCCGCCGCAGCCGATGCCGTATCTTCATTCCCAAACCAACTGATGATTATAGCCAACAAGCCTTTGTCACGATGATCAAAATATCTACCATGTCCTTCAGGGCTTGCGCCGATCTCCATTTGTCTCCTAGTATTGAAGCCGCTCAAGACAAGGGCGGTTCGTTTCGCGTCCTCGTGTTTGGTAGTGTACTCGAGCCATTTCTCAAAGGCACTTTTGATGGCCTCTGGATTAGTTGTTTTCATCCAGGTTGATTGGATATCTTTGAAGTCACCGTGCGTATCGAAAGGTGCAGAGGCATCATTGAGTTGAGCTACCGGCTTGAATTCTGTCTGTGCGTTGATGGCTTTTGAAACAACTTCCTCGTCAAATAGTACCGACGCAGCTTGCTCGGCTTCCTCGGCAGGGCCGTAGTATGTCGCAGTGAGAATGATCATTGGTGCCCCTGGCTTTGGTGCAGTTGGGGGAGCTCTGGCGCATATCATTACAGCAGCCAGAGATGGAGGCGGAGGCTGGAGTTTACTGAAGACTGTAGCAGCGAGGTCGATCATTGGGGCCGGGAAGATGAGTTTGCGGATAAAGACTCCATCTTGAGACAATCGGAGATCGGAAATTGGGTATATCTTCATTGTTAATGAGGTTATGACGCCAAGTCCATTTCCTGCGCCGCAGAGGGCTTGGAATAGGGCGAGGTCGTCACCCTTTGAGGAAGGGCTGAGTTGCAATATATTTCCTCCGGCGGTGATTAATCGTGCTGAAAGAACGTTGTCAATCATCATTCCGTGTAAACCGGCCATTGTTGACTAGTTGAAGCATGAGAATTAATTGTTCTTATCGCCCGGTGCTTTTGATTGTGAGAAGACTTACATTTCCTCCACCGAGGATACTCCCAACAACCCCAACTGCCTGGCTGTTAACCCAGGTTGTATAAAATCCATGGTCGGTGCACTCCTGGATCAGTTGTTTCGTGATCGCACCGCCTCCAAGGGTGACTGTTGCAGCCTGTTTATCGACATGAACCTTGTTGAATTTCTTCAGGTCAAGGTATAATGTCTTTGAAGTGATGGGGACAAACGAGCCATGTCCACCACCAGCAGGAAATACCTGAAGCCCGTTCTTACTGGCATATTCCAACACAGCCCGAATATCATCTTCTGTCTCTGGAGTGATGATTGACACTGGGTGGCCTAGAATTCCCGTGTCGGACCATCTTGAGATGGAGTGAGAAGGCGGAGCAGAGAGATCTGGGGTATGCACAGCGCAATTTAGATGGGCCAGGTCCATCTTTACTAGTAGTTGTCTTTCAAATTCTTTCTGATCAATAAGTTGTACACTGATGTTTCGAGCGGGGGATCATTTGAGTATTTATATTTTTCAAGATATGAGATGGTGTCTGATGTCAGCACGGCTGCTCCGGGGCGGTAGTGTGGATACATGCGCTTTTTTGGGTAAACGTCGGGTGTGCTAGTGTAGAAAGAAGGATGTGCTCTGCTAGTAAACTACAAACGCCCTAATCAGAGTATCATCAAGCCGGCTACCGTGACCTCCCAAATTAGAGCGAATAGCTGAAAATTGACCAGTGTTACTACTACTAGTAGGCATATATACCGGATAATGTCTGGCAATTCTTTAATATTCATGTGCAAGGCAGCCTTAGGTCCTAGATGGGATAGTTGAAGCTCGCGGTTAAGGATACATAGGTATTCAAGAAAGTAAGCTACACATGCTGGATGTTCCATATCTTTGTTGCGACTTTAATCAGTGATTGTACCGGGATATCGGCGTCAGTTTCTGGCGGAACGGGCGCACGGCGGAGTAGTTCTCCGCAAGATACATGCAGAGATTCGGCCGGCACACAACTGACTGGCATTGTTGAGCCGCCCGGGGGACGTGAAACCTCAATCTTTTGGCGTGTAACTGGCTGAAATCGGGGCCGGCCATTGCGCAGAGTTATGATCGGTTGCGAATTGATGATGCTCTCGAAAGTGAGCTTCGCTCGTTCTGGGTCAACAAAAATCAGAATTACGACTTTCACCTCCCCCTGGGAGTTGGCAAGCCACCAGCTAGCGTCAAGATGGAGTCTTCGCGATGATTCAGAGTATGCAACTTCAACTACAACAGAAGGCCATGTATCGTCGGTTGGAGGAGGAGTTGATGGGATCCATGAGCCATCTGGTTCTTTATAGCACATACTCCCTTTCACTCGACCTGAGCCAGTTGCTTGGGTCTCATCTTCCAAATTTGCCTCAACTATGGCCGTTTGGAGCGCAAAGGCAAAGTGTGGAGCTGCCGAATCATGAATTCGCCCAGGGATCGTAATGATTAAAATTCGCGACAAGGCGTCGTACGACTGGCGGCAGCCTTTGGATATGTGATTTGAAGCAATATTTGGAGGAACATTACTGAACTTCAAATACTGGGTGCCATGCTTAGTATCTTCATACTTTTGCGTAATGACTTTTCGAATTCCAGCGACCGAGGAGCCGATGAGATGGACAGCATATGGAAGATTGAAACGGTCATTATTGATCCTTTGGCATTCAAGATCGAACATTTCCTGTTCTGTAGCGGCTCGGTTTTGGCGGGTTCGTGGTCTCGGTGGGGTAGTAGCTGGGCCAAAGTCCACTGACAGTGACATGATGGCGAGTGGGTCGACAGAAACTCAGAGCACTGAAAGTATGCGAGTGGAGGGACTCCGTATAGTCGGCGGTACCTCTGGGGGGCGATGGTAGGAGAGAAATGTGGGGTCGAGGGGGATGAGTGATGGAAGTGAAGAAAATGTGGTGATGTATGTACTTGTAATCTTGAGTGGTTAGTCATGCGCCATTCCAAGGTAGTTTCGACCGGCAGCCGAGAAAGCCCTGGAGGAAAGACTACCTGACAGACAACATTTGGTCTGTATAACCTGAAGTACATACAAATACTGCCGGAGTAGTCAAAGGTTTACTGGTCACTACCAGTTCTCAATTTCCAATGCGATATGTTATTCAATGCATACATATAACAAAACAATGGGGCTAGGTGTAATTCGTGAAGAAAACCCGCAATTACCAACTCAACTCAATTCAATTCAATTCACTGAATGATCTCACTGTAAAGACACATTTTGCACCGCCTCCTCTACACTAATAGGCGCCGCAGAGCCCCCGTTCGCTTTCCCATCCGCGTCAGCCGGCGAGACCAACAAGGTAGGAGAGGTCGGTGACGTCGGCGAGAACGGATCTTTGTGACCAGTTTCCTCGGGTAACTGTGGCTGAGTTTGCAAATAGGGAATGGAACTCATAGCGACGGCCTCGGCTTCGCTTTCTTTCTGCTGGCTGTCGTTACTCACTCCGCTCTCTATCGAATCGGTCTGAGTGTGCTGCTTGCCACGGCCCGAGCGTCTGGTTTTCGGGGGGAGGGGCTTTTGGCCATGTTTTCCTACCCCAGCTGGTGGGGGTGCAGGACGGTGGTGGCTGGATGAGGGGGTTGTTTGGGCTGAGCGACGTGGTGGGGGAAGGGCGGGAGGTGGGTTTGATGCTGAGCGACGACCATGTCCAGGTATGGGAGGAGCCAGGGAGCTTGAAGCTGAGTTGCGTCTGTTACTTGCGCTGGGAATAAGAGGAGATGGGGCGGTGGGTATGGGTGTGGTCGGGGCTGTATGTGTGGATGTAGGACTGATCTCCACGCCCTCGGGGATAGTGTTGTAGTCACTGCTAGTACCGGGTGAATGTTGATCATCTTCGTCGACGGCGAGACGGCGCCCACGCCAGCGCCTAGTTTTAGGCGGCTCCGGTTTGACCTTTGTCGGGCGCAGTGTTGGTGTTTCGGCCATGAGGTCGGTGGCGGCGTGGCCGTTATTTCGACTAGGGGTGATGATGCCGGGTTTTTCGTGCTGAGAAGCTACAGCCTGGACGCTGAGTGATGAAGATGTTGCGGGCTCTAGATGCATACCCAGACGTTGGGCGGCGCTGAATCTCCGTCCCGAGTCTGGCGTTTCGGATGAAGCACGCGAGTCCATTGAGTCCATTCTGGATGGTGATTGTGTATCAGGAGAGCTAGCCATGGTACTCGTGCGTGATATGGGACGAGGGAAATTGACCGGCTCTATATCAACAGGAGATTCTTGCTGAACAGATTCATCAAGGACAGTTTCGATGGTAGTAGTGACCAACGGGGTCGATGTTTCGTGAGCTGATGTAGAATCACATTGTTTCTCATCCCGTAGCCATGGTACAGTTGCGCACCTGCCAACAAGCCGGCGCGTAGTATCGTCAACCTCATCAAAGTGAAGGATCTTTTCATGCTCGGTTTCATCTCCGTAGGACACCTGTCCTCGAACGAGCATGCTCAGTACTCTTCTGAGCTCGTCTCGTTTATAATGAGGCGGAGATTGAAGCTGCGTATGTGCGAGAAGTGGATACAAGACGCGTAGGTAGGTATGTCGCAAGGCAGATGCCTCCTCAGGCAAGTCGAGGAGGTTTCGTATCAAAATATCGACCAAGACGTGGAGATCATTAGTGAAGAAGTATTCATAGGTGCTAGGAGTTGTAAATATCAAGTATAACAGCTTCAGTGTGAGAAGTTGCAATGATGTCTCCGCTGTTCAAGGTATGTTAGCAACAGAAAGTCGTATATATGGAGCCAATGTGTCATACCTTCGCGGTTGATAAGTAGGATGATATTCTCGCCAAATGTCTTGTAAAGACTTCCATGAACTGACAAGATCTTTATTACCTTGTTGGTCAACCGGCTCGAGGAAGATGCTTCATCTACTGGATCATGCGCTGATATCATAAATTGTTCGTTGAGGACCAACTGTTCACGTTAGCGTGGTCATGGAACTCAAATGGCACGGGCAACACTCACCAAAACCCGAATGACGGGGTAATGATATGGGTCCGTGACATCAAATGAGAGATCTTCAATGATATCAAACAAACAGCGAATGAAATCATCGTCCACAAGCACTATCCCATGCGTATTGTCAGCCACGCATTTCACCCGGTCAGGATCAAAATGTACAAATGCAGTAACCTACCCAGATCCTCAATTTTCACTCGCTGAATCCTCGACATTTCGTACAGCAAGTCCATGCACAATCGGTGGAGGCCCGCCCCACCATCCATTTCATCCCGCCGCAATGCCTGGATAAGCTCCAGCAGCCGTGCAAATGCACCCTCCTCGTTCATCATCTGAAGCGGGATCTCATTTTGCCGACCATCGAAAAGAAGGAAGGCCGCAATTAGATGTAGTGTATTCGGATCATCCTCTTGCAAGAGGCCGTAAATGATCTGTCGCCGAACGTAATCAGCGTGTTCGGTGAAGATGCTAGAAGCGAAGAGTTTATAGGAGCAGCGCGAGATATCGAAGTCGGTACGGAGGCATTCATCTGTGCAGGCAAGGCTAGCAGTTAGCTGAGGAGCTTTATATCTGTATGTTTGACACCACTTGGATTTGGATTGCAGCAGGACGGGGGAGGAAGAGAGCGAGGGAGAGGCAATGTGTCACCTTTGTGCTCGGTCGTGAGACTCAGGTACTCGCGCAGGGCGTCGTCGATAAGGTCTTCCGTTTCGCAAGGCTTGGAGACAATTGCTTCAAGTTCTGAGAGGCGTCAATTGGGAACGGGCGTTCGTCAGTGACGATCGTTCAGAGGCGGAAATCAACCTCGAGCAAAGCGTAACCAACACCGAGACCAGGACTAGCACTTACCATTCCAGAACTGTTCGGGCTCCGAAACATCGGGCTCCATTTCCCACCGAGCTCGATCTGCGTCTGCGGGGCGGTGTCAGAGCACTCATCCCGTCTTTGTATGTCGGGGAGGAGGTTGGAGATGCGGAATGTGTTGGAGGCGGGGGAATTCCAGTTCCACTGCGGGTACTCCCTACGTACACTTGGCCCGGTCTACGGAGTTCGTGTTTGGCTGTTAATTTATTGGCTGTTGGTTTAATTTCTTTCTATTTTACGGAGTAGGTAGAGCGAATATGCAGAATTTGTATTGACTTATGAAAGCAATGTCAACAACGCCCACTACTACTAGTAACCCCCAACATGATTACTTGCCTAGTCGTCATGGATCTGCTGGCTTGGGATTAAGGCCACCAACCAGATTATTTATACCCCAGCGTAGCTCCGGTCCTCGGTTACTATCTTTGATAAGGTCAATTTAAATAAATAAATTACTAGGATTTTCGTTACTTTAAAGAAGAAATTACGCGTCATTCTTGCAGTCAATAAAGGAAAAGGAACAAAGAGTATATGCATTTCGCTGGTATCACTATGCAGTACAGCATTTTTCAAAGACAAACCAAAATAATAAACTAAATGCCATCATGAAATCGGGCGCAAGAAAGGGTGTGCCTCGGTATTGCTGGATAAATGTTAGTTTCGACTCAAGGACTCCGACTTGCAGGGGAGAAAGGAGCACACTCACAGGACGTATTTATCAAGGTCGAGCACGGTAGGGTCCGCAAAGAGGAGGTAGAAGTATTTGAGCGTCTCAGCGAGCCAGAATGACTCCATTGAATTCTTTTGCAGAGGTTTCTGAGACGTGACGTCGTTGATGGCTGCGTTGCCATGCTCGGTGTGGGTATGCTTCACGACTGACTGGAACATCTTCCAACCCTTTTGGCGCCAATATTTGTCACCAGTCAATCGGTACATGATGAAGACAGATTCGATTGCCTCGGGGCGTAGGTAGTAGCTAGGGCTGTTAATACTGACCATACCAGGCGGGAAACGATCGTAAACACTGGTTCGTGAGGGGGCGTTTGCCGGGGCGGTACCCGGGACGCCTGTGGTGTCCCTGTTTAAGAGACTATCCGCGTCACTTGCGCGGTGGGTAGGCGTGGGTTTGGCAACAGGTTGGGCGGCTGATGTTGGGGCTACACCAAGGTTTGACAGATCGCGCTTCCAGGAAAGGCCGTCATCATGAGGGTTCAGCGATCCTGGCATGGGAAGAGGCACAGAAATATCTTCGGCAATAGCAGGTTTTGACGGACGGCTTGCGGCGTTCAGCTTCACGCGCTCTCCGTAAGTGCTCTCGCCACTACGGAATTGAGCTGCGGCCTCTGAATCGCGATAATCAGAATGGTCAGCCAGGGAAGGGCTAGCGTAATGGGCTTCATCCCAGTCACAGGGTATCTCTCCACCGCAAGGCTTCATCCTAAAAGTCTCGGGCATGATGCCACTCGCAGTCGATTCATATGCCCACACACAGCCATCGGTTAGCTTATACGCAAGCTCCATGTCGCTTTTGAGGTCGAAGATCTTGGCACCAACAGCAACCATGCCACCAATGAAACATGTTAAATGTGCGCCTTCATGGATAAGGTCCTTGGGCATGGGACCCTCCTTGTTCAACAGGGCCAGTGGCCCGGTGGACGCGGCGAAACGAATATCACGAGCCCCCCTTGGTCATGGGTCGGAAGATGAGATGTTTGCGAATGGCATCCATCGCCTTCGTATACATCTTCTTATATTGGTCGTTTATGCCTCCTAACAAGAGGAACTGCTTGGGCAGATATTCGTAAGTCGAGTCGGCCATGCCGCCCAGTGTGTACTTGTTGTCACGAGCAAATGAGGGCATCTGCAGACCAAGATCGCACTTGTCCTTTTCTTTGGGTTCGGAAGTCGAGGCACCAGCACTGCTGGACTCCCATGCACTGCTAGTTCCACCATAGTTTGCACCGCTGTTCGAGCCGCCCGGGCCATGGTTGTAGGTAGCAGGTTCCGCAGCTTCCAAGTCAAGATCAGCCTCCCGTTTCAGCTCCATGCTGCCGGGGTACTCGAGATCACTAGTAGTGTTCATCGAGCGCTTCGAATGTGAGGGCGACCCCTTCGTGGGATTACCAAGACCAACATTGGTAGCAGCAGTTGTAGCACAGCCCCGGGCGTTGACTCGCATGGGCCACAGGCCGGGAATGCTGGTAGAATCTTGCAGAGCCTCCAGCTGATTGGTAATACGGGCAATCGCATCGTAGTACTTGTCCTGCTTGGTTAATTGTGCCAAACGGGTAAATTCCATGGAAAGAGACCCAATCTCCGCCAAACCGGAGGTCATTGAAGCCGCGTGGGCACGGTGTTTCTCGCTACTAAAGAAGAAATTAGTTTCTGCAAAACAAGCATATAGAAAGCGAGGAGTACTAACGAGCCCCAGCTGTAATATAATTCAGGCATGCGGTTCGGCGTGTCAAAGATGTCGATTAGAATTTCCGCCAACTCCTCGGCCTTGTCCAGCAATTCGGAGTGGCGTTGTCCAGAGATATCATATGCTCCCAGCAAGCCTCCCAAATAGCGGATCACGGTCTCAAAGACGGGAATATCGTTTCGGAAGGAGGAGGTCGTGAAGTCAATCTTCTTGATCTCATCCACGGCCGCTGAGAACTCATCCTTCAAATCCATGATCCAAAGCGAGTCGAGGGAGTCTACCAGTGTCGCGCCCCAGCCCATGAATGGGTTCTTTGCCTGCGCAGTCAGTGGCATGAGCTCATCCTCACCCATGGCGTACTTTTTGTATCCCTGCCATGCATGCACGAACTCTGCCTTGACTGCACTTAACTGCTGCAGCCGCTCTTGCTTATCGACCGTCGACTCATCCTTGAACTTGGCCTGGAGTTTCGGGATGGATATGCTCGGGCCCTTGGGCAGCTTGATCAGATTGGCCGGCGAAACGGGGTATTTCTCAGGGAATTTCTTCCAATGCGGCGTCGTGTTCTCGGCTGTGATGGTGGGGAGTGTTGACTTGTAGCGTGCATCATCTTCAGCGGCTTCGTCCGACAACGACTCCAACTTGGGAGCAGGAATCTGCGAAGATTGCGATCCCTCTGTGTAGTATGAGGAGGAGGATGGTCGCTTATCGTCGCTCGTGTCTGGGCTTGAGTCGCCGCCGTATTTGTTCGAGGAAATTGATAATGGCTCTTTACTCTTGCTAGACGAGTCGTCTGCGATTTGGTCTTTATTTTCTGCATTCACCGGGGTGCTTGGTACGACAGGCTCCTTCGGCTTCTGGAGTTCCTCGGTAGATAATGTCGATCCGGGGGAGCTGTCGTGGGGCACGAACGGGGTGTATTTGGAGGCATCGTTGTTGGCGGGGGGTTTCGATGGCGGCGTTGACTGGTCTGGCTTAGCATTGGGATAGGGAAGCGGCGGTTTATCCTCCGGAGACTCGAGAATGACCGAGTCCGACCAATCGCGCGACCGAGTGAAATGAAGCAAAGCCAGGAGAAAGACCGCGGCGAATACGAGATGCGCTCGGTAACGACGGGCGCGAAGCATGGCGGGCCTGGCACCCTCGCGCAGAGGAGGAAGGAAGGGGGGAAGAACTTGGGGTTGATATTAAATATTGAAGGGAAAGAGTGAGTAAATGCGAGCAAAGCAACTCCGATTGAATCGGGGAGAGAACTACAGTGTCACGAGACCGAGATGGAGACGACAAAAGGGCCACAAATAAGAGACGGAGGGTATCCACATGTGATGGATCACTCTCGGTCTTGGCCTCTCCTTAGTATCAACAAGAATAGAAGAACGAAATGAGCCAAGATAACACTGGTGTTCATTTGTTTTCATTGGGGTCTGACTTTTCCCCTCCAACGCCTTGCCCGCCTCTATGATCCTTGTTTCTCGGCTGTGCATGCCCTCGCATGCTAGCCAAGAGCCTCCGTTTCCACCAGTTTACCCTAGGCTAGTCCAAGGGGCTGCTGAATGGAGAGAACATGGGGCGGGATTGATTATTATCAGGATTTGGGGGGGAACATCTGGACAGGGCTGCCCCAGGGCTGGCCCCGTGCAGTTGCAAAGCGCCTATCATGAAGCAAGATTATATTCTGCTTCGGTTCGGCTTAGGGCCTCAATGGCATCTCCGTAACGAAGCGAGTACGACAAAACACTAGACGGACGAGCGGACCCTGAGTGGATCTGCAAGGGTCCAACCAAATAGCCTATCACCGTCATGCTGGACAGCCCCAGGGTCTCACCCGGCCCTGTCCGGAACATTAGTCTTGATACTAGTTTCCAAATTACATGCATCCTATCAACTAGTTATTTCTATAAGATAGTTACGGATATGTACTGCGAATACATTGAATTCAGGGAAGTCAATCTAGAAAGTGTAAATTTAAGGACTCATGAATCGTCTAGCGCTACAGTAAACTCCAAAACAAACCCCAAAAAACACACCAATGGGTAGAGCGTAAGGGAGAGAAAAAGACCATCATGGACACCTCCCACAGCATGTGAACATCTATCTGGCCTGTACTCTGTACTCCCAACTAGATCCCTACTGTCGTCCGGCGACCCTCCGTATTAGCCTTTTGGAATTGCTGGATTAATCCCAGTACTCCAGCTCCGCCGGCAATGTCATCAACATTCTCCTCCTCCTCTTCATCGTCGACATCCTCATCTTGTCCAGGAGGGTTCATTCGCCAGGAGTCCCCAAGACTACTCTCGCCTGTGCCCACGCCACCACTGGATGCACCCGCTACCCCCAGCTGTCGGGTGCTGGAATCACGAGGGTCTTGAGAAGGGCGCTCTTCATCCTCGTCGACGGGGTGTGGTGATAGCGCCAGCCGAGAGCGTGGGTGGGGATTATTTCGCATGCCCGTGCGGAAGCCTGACGTCGACGGCTGATGGTGTGGGTCAAGTAAGATAGATGGAGCTGGCGATCGTTGATCACCTAGGGGCATTGGGCGGAGCCTAGAAGCGCCAACAATAGACTGTGGGCCGAAATGACCGCCTGCTGGTCCGGGCCGATGGAGATTATCGAATCGATCGGGTCCCATCCCAAGATCGATCCCCGAGGGCGAGCCAAGTGTGGGGAGATTCGGTGGTGGGTGGAACGGCCGTCGTCCTGCCGGTTGTTGATTAGGACCGTAGTGTTCTAAGAACCCATAGTATGAAGCAAGCATCTTGTTGTCCTTGGTATTGTAATACTCGGCTCGCGGGTCCTGCTTAGCGGGCCCTCGTCGACTTTGAGAGAGGTCATTGGCCCCCTTCTTGAAATCGAAGACAGCAAAAGAGCAAACGTATCCCATCCCGTCAACATGGATGGTGAACTCCCGGAAGAAGTCAATCAGCCGGTCGCTACATTTGGGCAGACTGAACCACAGCACGAAGGGTGTGAATATCATGCTAAGGATCTCCTCCAGGAAGATGACGATCTTCATTTGATAAAGAATCGCAAATTCCCGGCGCACATCATCACTGTGCAACCGGCCATTCCAACCTGACGGGGAATAATGAGTAAATTCGATCAGCTCACGCAGTGCGTACTCCGGATCGAACACATCTGTTTCCTCTGGCGCCAATCCTCGAGCAAAAGCCCAGACCGTACCAAATATGCCGAGGTAAAAAAGGACGGTTCGATCGGGGCTGATTTCAAACCCAAGGAAAAGCTCTGGATCTACCACAGAAGCGAGAGCAAGAACCGATGCCAGAGCGCCGGAGATGAAAGCAATGAAGCGAGCAACCTGGACAGTCTTGTCTTTTGGAAACTGGTCAATGTAGCGGCTGGCAAATGGATAGGACATATTGGTGCGACGCTCAAACATATGCCAAAGTTCATTGAATTCGCGGAACTTCCACTCCGCCAGCGGAGTGTACTGACGAGATCCAATTTGTGCTGGACTCTTCTTGAACTCGTTGAAATATCGGAAAAAGTAATGCATCAGGAAGTAGACGACGATGAACGGCGCGACGATGATATTCATGACACCGGCAAAAATGAAGCGTCGTCGCAGCCCATCACTGAGAGCTCTTCGGTGGGTATCTTTAAGAAACAATGTGCGTAGTTGTCCCTGCTCATTGAAAACATAGTCCATTATGCAAAGATTGAGATTCCACTCCAGTGTTCGAGAAAATAGTTGTCGGTTTCTTAGAAACGGGACCGGTAGGGTTAGATCCAGAATGTCTTTGTTGACCAGCGCAATCATATAATTCTCCTTGCGCATCAGACGATTAGCGATATCATGGGCGTCCATTCGCTGCTTCGATTGACTTCCCAGAAATCTTCGATGTCTCGCTGATACGGCGGCGGCAGTGGCGGGGTTGGAATCACGCAAACTCATCAGTCGGCTGACGACCTCCTGCCAGGAGATAGTTTGAACTTCGGCATCAGCGACGTCAAGTAGGTAGAGGTAGAAGTCATGCATGTTCCAGAGCCTCCGAATGTCGAGTAGATATTGGATTAGTTTGCCAATCCAGAAGAAACTGAACAGCCAAAGTAAGAAGGTCGCCGTGCCGGACATGTTTGCCGTACATTTGGGGACAAGGATCTCGTCCAAACTCTTACTTCCTCTGACTTTGTGGTAGTTTACACAGTTGGTTAAAAAGGTGGAGAATCCGACGACGAACGCAAATGTCCTATCGCTTGTTAGATATGGTTGACGAATTGTAAGATAGGGACATACAAAAGATTCAAAGTGCGGCTCAGGAGAATAGACCAGAAGCCATTTCCGAGAAAATATGTGTAAACGTCTTTTAGGAAGTTGTCCAAGTCTTCGACATTAGCCCAGCGCCACATTGCTTTCTTCTTGGGATCAATATTGGCGAGACTTGGTTGTTGGATGTTGAGCCACTGTCGGATAGGGTGTGCAGCTTCAGGATTTCGCGTTTGCCGACCACGAGTAGTTTCCCATTGTTGATTCTGATGATGAGGAGGAAGTTGGGGGCTTGGACTTCTGGAGTGACTGGGCATCTGATGAGGCGGGGGAGGAAGGTGCGCCTTCAACATTTCGTCATCATCTCCTTCGACTAACAGCGACATGGGCACATCCTCATCCCGGTCATCCAACTCATATCCTTGTGGTGAGGCCTGTGTCATCCATCGCGGTCTTGACGGCTTTCGACGACGGGATACGGACGGAGAGGCGTGAGAGTCGGTAACTTGCTGGGACCTTCGATCACCGAGCAAAGCTGCCCGTGGGCTCGAGAGTTGACTGCCACCCGCATTTGCCAGGGCATCTTCAAGTTCCCCATCGCTGAAAGGGTCTTGCATGCCCTCTTCGTGACCGTGGGTCATCCCCGCACGTTGTTCGATGTCGGATGAATCGGAGCCGGCATCGTGTTGTTGAATCGTCTGATAGACCGAAGGGGAGTCCGCTGGGGGAAGGAAGCGCGAGAGTATATTGGAGGACATCATCTTATATCAGACTGGGACTGATATGGCCGTTCTCGGATGTCATCGCCACGAGAATATGAGTTGGGTTGTCGTCAACAAGGAGATGCGGAGAACGAAGACCGGCTATCGTTCGACGCGAAAGAGTTTGTTCGCGGGTTCGCTAATCAAGGGTAACCTAAGGAGGTTGCGGAAGAAGCTGTGTTGAAAAGGAAGTTCCAAGATTGCTTATGGATGCGGGATGCGATGTGTCGCATCTGATCATGCCCGCGTGAAAGCAGTCACCAGAGCTCCCTCTTGTCACCTGGGACCTATGACGGTCTCTGGCGCCTATTTGATAAGGCATCAAGGCAGTAAGGCAGTAAGGCGACCAGTGTGAATGCGGGGATTCCACATAAAAGAGCGCTGGATCTAGAACTCGGTGGCTTTCTTTTAGTGGAGCATCTAGAAATAAGAGGTCTCATGACCTTGAAAACTCCTGCCGAGAGTCCAAAGTTTTTAGGGCTCTAGATCGCGCAAGGGTTCAAGTTGAGTTGTTATCGTAGGGTGTACTCCGTATGTACTCCGTCCTCTGTGCTCCGCACTCCGGAGACATTCCAATACCTACCTACCTAGGTAGGTAGGTATTCAACTTGAACTCAACGTAGCATCTACACTATATTCTATTCTTTACCACAGCTTGTGTCACTCTCAAACAGTGCTTTCTCTTTCCTTACCTAGGTGCGTAGTACTCCGTACTCGGGCAGAATATTAAACCGTCAACCTCAAGGGAACACTGGCCAACCCTCAGGACGCCCAGCGGGTCCATCCTCGGGAAATTCCCACTATGGTCCCTTTTTCGGTAAGAGACTTACGGTCAAGCGGATATCGATTACCCTCACTTAATTGGCGCGCCGGTGCAATCCACCCCGTCCCTCATCTTATAGGTAGTGATTACATTGTTCCATTAGGCCGCCTCCACCGGAAAGTTTGTACCCTGTACTCCGTACCTCGCCTCCCCCTCCAACCCCTGTCGGCAAAGCTGCACTGGAAAGGCGCATGGGCTCTGTACTTTTGAAATTAGACCGTGTGGAGAGAGACCAGAGACAATCCGGGATATCCGCGACAGGGGGGGAGGCAAGTGGCAGAGGCAAAGGCGAATTGAAGAGCCCCGATGGAGTCTCCG